TTTTGATAAAATTACAATATTCTTGTGTGAAAAAACATGAAGTGTACTATAAAGTCTTTTAGTTGCTTAAATGGTACAGTTTGCAACAATTAATCACAAAATATGGGTTTATCTTATTAACATTTGATGAGTTATGTGTCTAAGTGTATTTTATAAAAGAAAGTATTGAAATATTAACACTTTGAAAAAAGTTATTTCTCTATGTATGTGTATATTCAGTCATTGGTAACTACTTTTGGTATAATAGTATCAACACATTGTTGCCTCCTTGCTTTAGGAAGGCAATGCTCTTAGTGATTAACTATTATGAGGCAAATGTGCTGGAAATAAAAAAAGAAGATACACCTTGGGGAGGGGGGGGGGGATAAAATATCATTTGTTGAAGAAGGGAAGTCAATGCAATTATTAACACTTAAATACTATGTTTTCTGATGGTGTCATTTTTAGAAGAAATTCTTTTTGTATAATAGGCCATTCATTTCAATTGTCATGTTTTTTCCATTGATGGCCAATCTCTCACATCATTACAATTTGACACCTTCTTCCTGGTTCCATAGTTGATGTTCTTGTGATTTTAAAAATTATAATCAGTATTAGTTATCAGAGCAGATTTACTTTTACTCTAACCATTTAAGTTATAAAGAGCTGACATTTATTAATATACACATGTCCAGTTTCCCTGTGGACAGGCTGCCCCTATTCTTTGTATCATGTCTGTTTAAGTATGATGTTTCTAATCTGTAACATGTATTAAGTCTAAACTGCAGACTCATCAGATACTGTAAAATTTGGCTGGATTGAATTTTATTTATTCATGAAAAGAACTGGTAAAGTCAATACATACTCTGTTAAGGTTCCTTTTCAGTCTATAAACATAATAAAGTTGTGAGAGTTCTATAATCAGAAAACAGACAATTCACATCCTGTGTACTTTTTAAAGACTAAGAAGATTAAATGTACTTATAAAAATCCATTTTGAATGAGGTTAATGAAAACTTTTAACACTTAGTATCATTTCAATGAATAAAACTCTTTATCAAGATATACATGTAGATGTAGGCCATAAAACATAACTGGAAGGCTCTCATTAAATTTATACCCTACTGAAATCAAGTTTAAATTATCACTGTCCCTATGTCTGCCTATACCTTGTATCAAATTCCTGTCATAACTTTGTATAACCTGCTTGGATAGATACTTTTTACAATCACTACACAAGTCTAAGGGTAAGTTATGATTTTGATACCTAGCATTTAATAAAAGATCTAAATAAATCACTAAATTGCTCCTATTTTCCCAAAGAATATGACATGACCTTGACCCAAACAGGTTAGGTTACATAGTAAATGTGATAAAATGAAGTCCAAACCATATCTTTGTACTGCACTCCTTTTTAGCTCACCTTTCCAAAGGAAATGTGAGCATTTGCCATCACTTGGCGTCCGTCGTTGTCTGTCCGGTGTAAACTATTTCAAACATCTTCTCCTCTGAAACTACTAAACCAATTCAAACCAAACTTAAGCTGAATGATCCTTAGGGTATCTAGAATAAAGTTTGTGTTTTATTTTCTGTTTCGTAAAAAAACATGGTTGCCATGGCTAAAAATAGAACTTAGGGGTAAAATGCAGTTTTTGGCTTATATCTCAAAAACTAAAGCATTTAGAGCAAATCTGACATGGGATAAAAATGTTCATAAGGTCAAGTTCTAGCAGCCCCTGAAATTTTTAGATGAATCTAACAACCCATTGTTGGGTTGCTGCCACTCAATTGGTAATTTTAAGGAAATTTTGTAGTTTTTGGTTATTATCTTGAATATTATTATAGATAAAGATAAACTGTTAACAGCAAAAATGTTCAGCAAAGTATGATCTACAATAAGTTTAATGACCAAAATTGTCAATTGACCCCTTAAGGAGTTTTTGCCCTTTAAGGACAATTTTACACAATTTGTTTATAATGTTTTCTAACTTTAAAAAATCTTCTCCTCTGAAACTACTGAACCAAATTAAACCAAACTTAAGCTGAATGATTCTTATGTTATCTAGAATAAAGTTTGTGTTTTATTTTTTGTTTCCTCAGAAAACATGGCCGCCATGGCTAAAAATAGAACATAGGGTAAAATGCAGTTTTTGACTTATATCTCAAAAACTAAAGCATTTAGAGCAAATCAGACAGAAAGTTAAAGTATTCATTAGATCAAGGTCTACCTGCCCTGAAGTTATCAGCCAAATCGGGTATCTGATTTGTAGGTTATTGCCCCTGAATTGATGATTTTAAGGAAATTTTGCAGTTTTCGGTTATTATCTTGAATATTATTATAGATAAATATAAACTATAAACAGCAAAAATGTTCAGCAAAGTAAGATCTACAAATAAGTTTTTATATGACCAAAATTGTCAATTGACCCCTTAAGGAGTTATTGCCCTTTAAAGACAATTTTTCACAATTTGTTCATCTAGTTTGCTTACTTTTAAAAAATCTTCTCCTTTGAAACTGCTGAATCAATTTCAGCCAAACTTGGGTTGAATGAGCTTCAGAGTATCTAGTATAAATTTTGTATTTTATTTCCTTGTACGTCAAGAAACAGAGCCACTATGGCTAAAATGGAACATAGGGGTAAAATGCATTTTTTTATTTTTGAAGAAAATATGACAGATACAAAGAACATGTAAATGGCATTTTAAGCCACTCATTAATATATATTGAAAAGCAAAAATCATCATTGATGAAAGATTTAAGCAAAAAATTACAGGTGAGCGATTCAGGCTCTTGAGAGCCTCTTGTTTGATGAACACTTCATACAACTATTTTTTTCTGTTGTATGACCTTTGTCCAAATCCCCATTCAAACCCTGTCCAAATTTAATGTTATTGCCTTTCCAATTTCCTATAAAGTTTTAAAACTTGTTGAATGTCACAAAACTTGTATTTTGGTTTATTCCTAAATATAATTGTATACAATGTGAAAAAGGATGAAAACTCCTAAATAAGCATCAGGATTAAATAGGGAGGGGTTTTGAGAACTCAAAACACTAATCTAACTCTGCCACATGTTTATTTGCCTGTCCCAAGTCTGCCCATGAGGAACCTCAGTAGTGGTTGTCTTTTGTCATATCTTAATGTTTTGTTATTTGAAAATTTTGGTGTTGATGGTGGATCTTTTATAGTCTTTGGGTAAAATTTATTAACAACTTTTTTGACTCAGAGGTAATTTAGAACTTGACATTTTGTTAAGACAACTCTCTTAATATTAAAGACTGTATGATTGATTGATTGTTTGTTGCTTAACTCCAGTGGTAAATAAGACTGTATGAGGGTCTTGATTGGGTTTACAGAATGGAGAATAATGTGTCAAATGTACAGAAAAATAGACCAACTGTATGAGGGTCTTGATTGGGTTTACAGAATAGAGAATAATGGGTCAAATGTACAGAAAAATAGACCAAAAAAATACAGAATAGTGAAAAATAGGGTAATAAAATAAAGGGTAGATAATTATGTTATGATGGTAAGTGCTGCAAATTGATTTTTCAGTGTTTTTGTCTAGCCTGCGCCGAAAGTGGCGGAAAGCGAGACATAGGGATTGCTTTTCCAGCGACAGCGTCAACAATTGTTCAAGTTTTCTGCTTAAGTTAGTTTGATAGGAAATACTTGTGATAGATCAGTGATGTTTAATATTAAGTTGCATTACTATCGATACATATCAGTTTGATGACTATTCCCAGGCCCTGCCCCCTAGGTCATGGTTATGTGACTGAATTAATTAGCAATTTTCAATGTTAGGTTTTCTACATTTAAAAAGTTAGTTTGATAGGATCTACTTGTGATAGATCAATGATATTTTGTATGAAGTTGCATTACTGACAGTTCATATCAGTTTGACAACTATTTTGAAGCGCTGCCCCCTAGGTCATGGTCCAGTGACTGAATTATTAGAAATTTTCTATTTTAAGTTTTCTGCTTAAGTCAGTTTGATAAGAATTACTTGTGATAGATCAATGATATTTTGTATAAAGTTGCATTACTATCAGTATATATCAGTTTGACGATTATTTTCAGGCCCTGCCTACTAGATAATGGTCCAGCGACTGAATTTATAAATCATGTTGCTGTCCATCAGATTGTCTTTTTCTGAATTTTATGCCGACAGGCGAGACATATCTCTGTGTCAACAGTTTATTACAAAAGGCACTTATACACTTGAAAATGATATTTACTGCAAAAATGAAGTCACCTGTAAATATAAATTGAAAAAAAAAAAAAACAGAATTGCAGCATTGACAACATGAAGTTTACTGGACATTCCTAAAGACAGGTTTTCAAATAGTGTTTTTATTTTTTTTAATTTTTTTTTTTTTTAAATTAATGCGCCATTGTTACATACATTTATATTTCCCCTTTGATGTTATTTATGGATATATATGTTACAGCAATTTATTTTTATAATTTTTTCTGTATCTAGAAACTGATCCACTTTTTATCGTTGCATGCAAAACTTTATAGAAATTCAAGACATTGCCCATTTATGTGCCTCTTACCTTAATTTAATTTGAATGAGGTTTTAATGTGGTAGTAATTATTCTTCTTATAATTAACATTGAAATGTCTTTTATTTCATTTTCTCTACAAAAAAAAAAAAATTAATTAACTTAAACATGTACAACATGCATAATTGTAACCAAATTATTTTTGTAATATGTGCAATGCATGTATAAATTAATTCATCTCTTTGGTGAAATTAATGAATTAAAATGACGATTGCTTCCAAGAAATAACATGCTTAATGAAGAGAAAAAAACAATTTTTAATTAATTTTATTAAGTTAACCAGGTCATTTTATCAATAAATAGAAAAGTAATGAGATATTCATTACTTATACATGCTACAACAAATTAAGTACATTGTTATGTAGTCATTTTTCATGATTCAGTAGGTTTGACTGTAAGTTGTACAGGAAGTACTCAGAGTCTTTAGTAGTCACTGTAAAAATTAGTATCTTTATATAAACTCTAGATAAGGATCTGACATATTTAAAGTTTATTTGCATATTTAAAAAACATTATAAGAGTGAATAATGACTGTGTACTTCAACAAATTATCTATTAGTACCCAAGAAGGTGAACCAATGTTAATGACTTCTTTTGAAGAACAGAAAGGGATGCCTCATCTTGTATCTATATTTGATACCCAGTATTTTAGAAAGTGGACCGAGATACCACGAGGATTATCGTTTCATCATAAGGTAGGATATTTATACTACCTGGAATTAAAATCATATCAATTGTGATTTATACAGTAGGAAGTTTGGTGATTTAATATCTTCCCTGTTGTTGACACTTGATTATATATTTATGTATTAACATGCAGTTAAGAAAATGACTGTTGTGTGGATTTTTTTTCTATATAAAATGAAAACTATGGTAAAATTATAATTAAAACATAAATGAAAATGACCAATAGCTATTGATTGACAAGATTAATCAACATTTATAATTGATGGCAACTAAATTTTACTCCTTATTTTAAATGGGATTTGCCCTGTAATTCAATCTTTGTCTTTGGTTTCTTTTTCCCCTAAGCAGTGTTTGTTTTTGTTCATGGCCTTTAAGATGTTTTTCTATTGTTATTATTTGACAACTTCATGATAACGGACAATTGATATGATTTGGAAACAATGTCCTGGTGGAGTGTGTAACCTCGTCTTTATTTAAAGACCTTCAAGTAACTGTCTAAATGTAGAACAGCAATTTATGTCATTTTCTTGCTCTTTACTATATTGTTGTTTCATATTTTTTGTTTGGAATGCTGGAGCCCGCCTCTGGGTGTGGGATTTTCTTGCTGTGTTGAAGACCCATTGGTGGCCATGGGCTGTTTTCTGCTCTTTGGTCAGGTTGTTGTCTCTTTGACTCATTCCCCGTTTCCATTCTCAATTTTATGAAGTAATTTTCTTGCTCTTTACTATATATTGTTGTTTCCAATTTTTTGTTTGGAATGTTGTAACAATCTTAAGGGGTCCAAAGATAACTTGCTGCATTCATGCAAAATTTCAGCCCCAACCTAGCATGCCCTATAGATATTTGCAGTGGCATACCAAATTTTACTACCTCTTTTTGGTTGACGTATACCCTACAAATTGATTTATTACTAACTAGTGAATTTATTCTCTTCTTTAATATGCATCAAATATTTGCCACTGTAGATAAGCAAACAACAATCAAATCATGTACATCTACCCTAATTTTTTCATCCAATTGATTTTTATTTTTTCCTTCTTTCATTGTAAAAGGAAGGATGTTCTCACAAAATTTTCAATTATGTTTTGAAAAAAGAAGTAATCTGATCAACCGGTTAATAGTATATCATTAGAGTGAATTATGTCTCTCAACTTCAACAAACCATCTATAAGTATCCAAGAAGTGGAGCCAGTTTTCATGACTTCATATAAAGGACATAAAGGGAAGCAGCTTCTTGCGTCTGTATTTGATTCCAAATATTTTAGAAAATGGGATGAGATACCACTAGAATTACCATTTCCTGATAAGGTAGGATATTTATTCCTGGAAATATAATCACATAATTTGTGATTTATACAGAAGTTTGGTGTAGATATTCTATTATATTTTTGTTGAATGCCACACTTGTTTATATTGCGGCCAGTTTTTGTCTCGCCTTGACGGAGTCAAAAAGCGAGACATAGGTATGCTGTTTCCGGTTTCGGCGACGGCATCAACAATGTATTAGTTTGTGATTAGGTCTAGTTTATGGTGAACCACTAGTGGTAGGTCAATGATATTTGGTATGCAGTTGTATTAGCATTGGCACATCTCATTACCATGCAGATTATTTGGCCCTGCCCCCTCAGTCATGGTCTATTGACTTCTAAACTTTGCTTAGTTTACATGTATTAGTTTGTGATTAGGTCAGTTTATGGGGAACCACTAGTGGTAGGCCAATGTTAATTGGTATGCAGTTGTATAAGCATTAGCACATTTTATTTCCATGGAGAATATTTGGCCCCGCCCCCTCAGTCATGGTCTATTGACTTTGAAACTTTTGCTTAGTTTACATATGTATTAGTTTGTGATTAGGTCTGTTTAAGATGAACCACTTATGTTAAGTCAATGATATTTTGTATGCAAATGTATTGGCATTTGCAAGTTTCATTTCCATGGAGATTATATAACCCCACCCACTCATTATGGTTCATTGACTTTGAAACTTTTACATAGTTTACAAGTTAATGTCTGTGTTTAGGTTTGTTTAAGGGGAACTACTTTTGAAAAGTCAATGGTATTTGGTATGCAGTTGTATTAGCATTGGCACATCTCATTTCCATGGAGATTGTTTAGCCCTGTACCTTCAGTCATGGTTCATTGACTTTGAATATACTTTAACATGTAAGTTATATCATTAGAGTGAATTATGTCTCTCAACTTCAACAAACCATCTTTAAGTATCCAAGAAGTGGAGCCAGTTTTCATGACTTCATATAAAGGACATAAAGGGAAGCAGCTTCTTGCGTCTGTATTTGATTCCAAATTTTGAGACATAATTCACTCTAATGATATAACTTACATGTTAAAGTATTGCTATTTTAATTTCAACATTTGCATTATCAAAATAACAAATAGGCGAGACATATCTCTGTGATAACAGTTTATTATTGGTGGAGGAAGCAGGAGTACCCAGAGAGAAGCACTATCCATCGGCAGGAAAACTGACATTTCCATTTAATCAATATAGGAGTCATCTCTAAAGGCCAATAGAATCTTACTAAAATTTCATAATGTAGATTGAAAAGTTCATCGTGAAGACTGCTGAGGCACCCATTTAATTATTTAATTTATATTTTTATGTATTAAGATGTGATTGAGAAATTGACTTTTATTTGGAATGTTTTTCTATATAACATGTACACAATCGTAAAATTATTAAACATGAATGAAGTAACCAATAGCTATTGATGGACTAGATAATTAATTATTTTGGATAACTTGTCTTGGTAGAGTTGGTTGGCTATTCTTTATTTAAAAACCTTCAAGAAACTACTGAAGAACAGCTATAAAAGTGATTTTCATTCTCTTTGATAAATTGATTTGCTGTTTCCTAATTTATGTTGTGTCACAAGTTTGAGAGGTCCAAAGATGACTTGTTTCAATGCAAAATTTTAGCTCTGATACAACATGCCCTATTTTTCAACTGGCCATTCAAATTTCCTACTTTTTATTCTGGTTCATCTTTAACCTACAAATTGATTTATTACTAAATTTATTCTCTTCCTGAATATGCATTAAATATTTGCCACTGGAAATAAGCAAACAACAATCAGTTCATGTTCATCCCCCACAATCTCTTTATCTCGATTTGTTTTTATTTTCTCTCTCTTCTAATAAAAAAGGAAGGATGTTCTCACAAACGTTTCAATTATCTTTCGAAAATCATTGAATCTGACCAATGTTTTAAATGTTTAATCAGGATGTTTTGGAAGAGTTAACCACACGTGATTGACTATCTATATTTTATGACAAGTTCTTCATACCTTTTTATATCTTATATCAGGTGATGTATTGTATTAGGTACATTTAGCTGCATAATTACAATGTCAAGAAATAATAGACTGATAATTGAAGTAAGTAAACTTCTATAAAAAAAACTAAAACTTTAATTATTATTTACTACAAAATCTGATTTAGTACACTGCATACATAGAATATGCATTTCAATGAGCTAGGTCACTGTAATTTATTTATTAAGTCTCCCAAACGAAGTTTGGGAAGACTTATTGTTTTTGCTCAGTTCTTATTATTATTATTCTTCTTCTTCTTCTTCTTCTTCTTCTTCTTCTTCTTCTTCTTCTTCTTCTTCTTCCGCCGCTTTTAAATTTGAACTTGTCCGCACCCGTTCTCCAAAACCGCTTGTCGGATTAACTTAGGGTTTCACAATATGTTAGACTAACATGTCTAGTGGTGCAATCAGGGTTTTGTTTTTGCAATGGGGTTTATAAAGGGGTACTTTGAGGGGCAAAAAGAAAAGAGGGTTTTACTATAGAACCCTATGGGATTTTTTTTTTTTAAATTTTCAAATGATTATAAATTGAAAACCGTTCGTGATAGACACAAACTTTTTAATTGAAAATGTTCTAAATGATAAAGCCCATTAAATGAAATACAGGGTTAGTCCCCAGGGGTCACCCCCACCCCCTGCCATTTAAGAAAGTTCTAATACCTTGTAAGTGGTCAAGATCCCCACCCCTAAACCATATATATTCTGGTTTGTCATGCTAAGATGGTTTGAATGATATACAGGGTTAGTCCCCAGGGGTCATCCCCACCCCCTGTCATTTGAGAAAGTTCTAATATCTTGTAAATTGTCGAGATCCCCACCCCTAAACCATATATATTCTGGTTTGTCATGATAAAGCACATCAAATGAAATACAGGGTTAGTCCCCAGGGGTTACCCCCACCCCCTGCCATTTAAGAAAGTTCTAATATCTTGAAAGTGGTCAAGATCCCCACCCCTAAACCATATATATTCTGGTTTGTCATGCTAAGATGGTTTGAATGACATACAGGGTTAGTCCCCAGGGGTCATCCCGACCCCCTGCCATTTTAGAAAGTTCTAATATCTTGTAAATGGTCGAGATCCCCACCCCTAAACCATATATATTCTGGTTTGTCATGATAAAGCACATCAAATGTTATACAGGGAAAGTCCCCAGGGGTCAGCCCCACCCCCTGCCATTTAAGAAAGTTCTAATATCTTCTAAGTGGTCAAGATCCCCACCCCTAAACCATATATATTCTGGTTTGTCATGCTGAGATGGTTTGAATGATATACAGGGTAAGTCCCCAGGGGTCAACCCGACCCCCTGCCATTTGAGAAAGTTCTAATATCTTGTAAATGGTCGAGATCTCCACCCCTAAACCATATATATTCTGGTTTGTCATGATAAAGCACATCAAATGTTATACAGGTTAAGTCCCCAGGGGTCACCCCCACCCCCTGCCATTTAAGAAAGTTCTAATATTTTCTAAGTGGTCAAGATCCCCACCCCTAAACCATATATATTCTGGTTTGTCATGCTGAGATGGTTTGAATGATATACAGGGTAAGTCCCCAGGGGTCATCCCGACCCCCTGCCATTTGAGAAAGTTCTCATATCTTGTAAATGGTCGAGATCCCCACCCCTAAACCATATATATTCTGGTTTGTCATGATAAAGCACATCAAATGTTATACAGGGTTAGTCCCCAGCGGTCACCCCCACCCCTTGCCATTTGAGAAAGTTCTAATATCTTGTAAATGGTCGAGATCTCCACCCCTAAACCATATATATTCTGGTTTGTCATGATAAAGCACATCAAATGAAATACAGGGTTAGTCTCCAGGGGTCACCCCCACCCCCTGCCATTTAAGAAAGTTCTAATATCTTCTAAGTGGTCAAGATCCCCACCCCTAAACCATATATATTCTGGTTTGTCATGCGAAGATGGTTTGAATGATAGACAGGGTTAGTCCCCAGGGGTCATCCCGACCCCCTGCCATTTGAGAAAGTTCTAATATCTTGTAAATGGTTGAGATCCCCACCCCTAAACCATATATATTCCTATTTGTCATGTCTCGAACATTTGAATGACGTATAGGGCCAGTCCCCAGGGGTTTCTCCCCACCCCCAATATTCTAGTATCTTGTAAATGGTTGAGATCCCCACCCCTAAACCATATATATTCCTGTTCGTCATGTAATGAACATTTGAATGACGTATAGGGCCAGTCCCCAGGGGTTCTTCCCCACCCCCAATATTTTAGTATCTTGTAAATGGTTGAGATCCCCACCCCTAAACCATATATATTCTGGTTTGTCATGCCAAGATGATTTGAATGATATACAAGGTTAGTCCCCAGGCATCACTAATGCATATAACTTTACTGGACCAAACCAATTTTCAATGGACGTTGCCCAATGTCAGGCGACCCTGGGAATAACTTATGGGAGCTTCGTTTGGGAGACTTCGTAACAGCATCCTGTTACAATCATTTCTTGTTGTATGAAAGCATTTTAAAAGATAAGCAAAACATACACATCTTTAATTCTTTTCTTGTATATTTATATATGTAATATTTGCCACTGGATGTTAAGTTGTATGAAAGCATTTTAAAAAATAAGCAAAACATACACATCTTTAAGTCTTTTCTTGTATATTTATATATGTAATATTTGCCACTGGATGTTAAGTTAGCCCATTTATTGATCTGTTAATCATCTTTATACAATTAAGAGATGATATTTTCAGCAATGTAGCCTTAACAACAGTTGAAGCATTGAGATGAACATTGTTAAAAATAAGTTAAACTTTTATGAATTTTAAATGTTTTTGGGACAATTCTATACTTGTCTTAAAATATGCAAAATACACTGTTAACATATTTGTATTATATCTCTCACTTGGATGTGTAAAATTGTTGGGGAATACCCTCAAAATAATTCTTGATTTCAACTTCAATTTAAAAGATAACTTAATTTGCTTTATCATGGTGTTTCTAGTCTGGCAGTCACATTTATTAATACTTCCTTATTTTATTAACCCTAGATCTATTCCCTTAAAAAGGTATTTTTCTGTAGTATATGAACTAAAGAATTTGTTCTCGATAACAATCAAGTAAAATAATAGGAAAATTATTAACCTAATGGTGTACTGTTTAGATGCTAGTAGTATATTACAGTATTAGAATTATAGAAGATACTGGAGGTTGTTATGGACATAAACTTTCGGAAAAAGTATATGCCATTTTGTTTCTTATGAATTACACATATCTGCAAGCAGTTGTACATTTTATAAACTTAAAAGGGGCATTATGATACAATGTAGAAAAAAATTAAAGTATTATTTTTGTTTGGTTTCAATATACATGAAGGATTGTGCCTGATATTCATATGATGAAGACATAATCTTTCAATCAGTTTAATTGAAGTCTGGAGCTGGCATGTCAGTTAACTGCTAGTAGTCTGTTGTTATTTATGTATTATTGTCATTTTGTTTATTTTCTTTGGTTACATCTTCTGACATCAGACTCGGACTTCTCTTGAACTGAATTTTAATGTGCGTATTGTTATGCGTTTACTTTTCTACATTGGCTAGAGGTATAGGGGGAGGGTTGAGATCTCATAAACATGTTTAACCCCACCGCATTTTTGCGCCTGTCCCAAGTCAGGAGCCTCTAGCCTTTGTCAGTCTTGTATTATTTTTAATTTTAGTTTCTTGTGTACAATTTGGAGTTTAGTATGGCGTTCATTATCACTGAACTAGTATATATATTTGTTTAGGGGCCAGCTGAAGGACGCCTCCGGGTGCGGGAATTTCTCGCTGCATTGAAGACCTGTTGGTGACCTTCTGCTGTTGTCTGTTCTATGGTCGGGTTGTTGTCTCTTTGACACATTCCCCATTTTCATTCTCAATTTTATTTTTATATGATATAGATTTATAAAATATTGAAATAAGAATTTGCTATTAACAGGATATTTGATTTATAACATTCTGAAATGTAACTATTTGCAAAGAAATGACAAATATCAAAAATGAAAACAAGAATTTCCTTTGTTTGAAGAGATACTTGTGTGAACTATTCTTTTACTGATGAGTATATCATATTTAAAAAAAAATGATCACTAAGACTTGGAGATTTATCATACCCCATGCAACTTCGTTGCATAGGGTATGTTTTTGACCCGTCTGTTAGTATGTCTGTCATTCAGTCTGTCTGTCAGTCCGTCAGTCCTGTTCTTGTCATTGCAGCTCCTCTGAAACCACTCAACAGAATTTCATGAAACTTTGTAGATGATAAGGCCATACTATGTCCATGTGCATATGGACAGGAAATTATGATTCAATTTTTCTTCTAGGAGATATGCTCCTTTGAACTTAGAATTTTGGCCGAAATATATGTACTACTGCAACACTTTGCCATCGCAACTCCTCTGAAACCACACAACATAATTTCATAAAACTTTTTAGATAATAAGGACATAATATGTAGATGTGCATATCGACAGGAAACTGTGATTCAATTCTTTTTCTAGGAGTTATGCCCCCTTTAAACTTAAAATTTTGCCCTAAATATACTACTGAAACTTTGTTATCACAACTCTACACAACAGAATTGCATGAGTCTTTGAACTTAGGAATCTGGTGAAGTATGGGGTATGTGAGTATGCTCACAAAGGTTATTGAATCATATATATGCATTGTTTTATGCCTGTTCAATCACTTATTATGTTTATTAAATGCATGAAAAGTCATACTAATTGGAACTTTATGGTGAACTCAAATAATAACTTTAGCATAGATGGTTTCTTCACATGGTACAAAAATGGTAGCTTAACATGTAATTGTTTTTAATTGATTTTGTAGATGGAGACAATCATAAAAGAACTACAGAGTGAAAAGTTTGGTTTGTTTCAAGCAATGAAAGTCAGACGGCCTGTCACTGCATTTACAGGTAAACATAGATTCTGATATCTAAATCAATGAAATCATTGTTTTATAGTGCAAGGTTATTTTTCATCAAATAAGGGATTTCTTTCTGCATATTTGAAACAAGAAAATCTTCACAGTGAAGAATTGACAAAGTTTGATGCAAATAAACAAATCAAAATTTGGGATAGTCTCAACAGTCTACAGGTTAGAAGCTGGGTTGGCTCTATAGGTCTCTGCTATCTTATTGTATAGTAAAATATTATCTTTAGTTGAGGTTGTTGTACACTTCAGTAGATTACCACAGAAACAGATATATATATATGACAAGAAACTAAAAGCAAAACAAAAATTGTTTTGAGGTTAAATAAACATGTTAATGTATATGCACAAAAATGAGATATAGATGTACAAATTGCATTTTTTTTGTTTCGCTTCCCTAACATTGTTTGGGTGTGTACAAAGGGATCATTCCACTAGGTCTGTTTGTCTGTCTGTGCAAGGCAAGTCTGGTTCAAAACTTTTGAAGCCCTTGTAGGATATAGGATATTAATGATACTAAGTGCTATTGTTGCACACTACCAAAGGATGTGTTGGGAATAAGGTTAGAATGTCTATATATAAAATCAAGGTCACAATAGATATAAGATGTGGTATTAGTGCCAATGAGACAACTCTCCATCCAAGTCACAATTTGTAAAAGTAAACCATTATAGGTCAAGGTACGGCCTTCAACACAGAGCCTTTGCTCACACCGAACAGCAAGCTTTAAAGGGCCCCAAAAATGACTAGTGTAAAACCATTCAAACAGGAAAACCAACGGTCTAATCTATATAAAATGAGAAACGAGAAACACACAAACTGAGATCAACTTTACATTTTCATGTTCAAGAAGTTTCTAACTCAATTTCAAATAAACAAAGTTGCATCTGACTCTAAACTTTTGAATTTTCTAAAGGAGATTGATATTTGATATATTTGTTGTGTGTCATGAATAAGGTTGGAATCTGTCTGCAAGGTCAAGATCATCATGTAAGACTCAGAACTTTTGAACACGTTGAAGGATATTAATGATATTTGTTTTTTTATTATTGTTGAGCCATGGCCATAATGGTGTGTTATGAATAAAATTAGAATATCTGGCTGCAAGGTCAGGGTCTAATTTGTAAATTAAGATGAATACATGGGTGGGGATTTTGTGACCTTTTCACACTGTAACTCTACTATAGTTACATTTTCTAATTGCATTTTTTTCTCTTCACATGAAGTTAACATTTCCTGCTTAAAGTGCATCATGCAAATTAATTAATGTATTTGTGTCACCTATGTACATGAAGTATTGAGATGTACATTTACCTATCATATTTGTTAAAGTTTATTGATTCTTGTATGATAGGCTGTCAATTGTATGACATACATATTTGTGTAGAATTAGATATTTGTTGGCACAAACAAGCAACAATTTGAAGTGAATAAAAAGTTGAAATAAAATTCAGAGTATAATGCTATCTATACATTCAGACATAATTCATGTTTATAGGCCTTTTTCTTTGCATTTTATTAAAAAAATCTATGTTATTTAGTGGCCTGCATGGCAGCCCTATAGTTTTCACTTTGTCTGTCCATCCTTCTGTCTGACTATTCTTCTGACTGTCAACAAACTAAAAATACCAAAAGTATGGGTAGGATACTGATTACTTTTTGAACAGTTGCTGTGCATAATATGTAGATATGCATACTTTTTGCTGTCCCTCTAAAATGTTAATTCTATAGAAAATCTCATTATACGCGATCTCACATCTACATTTCTTGTTGGCTTGTATTAAATTTATATCAAGGATTTATATAATCAAGGTCTTTGATGAGTTTGATAATGACTATGATAAACAATTTTTGCAGGAGTTTTGTCTCTTGGAGATTGAAACTTAATAGAAAATTGTATTATGAACAAACTCAATCTCAGGCCTACACTTCTTGAACGCTATATATGAAAAAGTTTGAAAGATCCAAAACAAATATATTGGAGTTATTGCCCTTGGACAGATAAAATATGTTCATTGGTGGCTGCGTTCGAACCCTGTTCTTTTAATTTTTTAAAGAATGTCTCATTTTATTGCCTCGCCTTGACGGAGCCATATAGGTATGCTGTTTCCGGTGTTGGCAGCGTGGCCCGCGTCAACAAAATATAAGTTTGTGATTAGGTCTAGTTTATGGCGAACCACTAGTGGTAGGTCAATGATATTTGGTATGCAGTTGTATTAGCATTGGCACATCTCATTTCCATGGAGATTATTTGGCCCTGCCCCCTCAGTAATGGCCTATTGACTTTGAAACTTTCGCTTAGTTTACATGTATTAGTTTGTGATTAGGTCAGTTTATGGGGAACCACTAGTGATAGGTCAATGATATTTGGTATGCAGTTGTATAAGCATTGGCATATCTCATTTTCACAGATATTATTTTGCTCCGCCCCCTCAGTCATAGTTTATTGACTTTGAAACTTTTGCTTAGTTTACATATGTATTAGTTTGTGTTTAGGTCAGTTCAAGGGGAACCATTATGCAGTTCTATAAGCAATAGCACATCTCATTTCCATGGAGAATATTTGGCCCCGCCCCTCAGTCATGGTCTATTGACTTTGAAACTTTTGCTTTGTTTACATGTATTAGTTTGTGATTAGATCAGTTTAATATGAACTGCTAATGTTAAGTCAATAATATTTGGTATGCAAATTTATTGGCATTTGCAAGTCTTGTTTCCATGGAGATTATATAGCTACACCCCCTCAGCATGGTTCATTGACTTTGAAACTTTTACATAGTTTACAAGTTAATGTTTGTGTTTAGGTTTGTTTAAAGGGAACGACTTAAGGTAAGTCAATGGTATTTGGTTTGCAGTTGTATTAGCTTTGGCACATCTCATGTCCATGGAGATTGTTTAGCCATGTACCTTCAGTCATGGTTCATTGGCTTTGAATATTTGCATAACTTACATGTTACTGTGACTTGACTGTAAGTGTTGCTCTCCACCTACTGCAACTTATTCAAAATTCTGACCAAATTGCAATTTATTTTATAAAACCAAACTGTTCAACTGGTAAGAAATTTGAACTAACTGCTGTAGAAAACCACAGTCAAGTCGTGAAAGTGCAAGTTGATAAAATAAAGCATACTTACAATCCTATTAGACTTTAATTCCACTTCAATGTTATTATGAAATATCAGTCTAACAGTTTGTATAGAAATTTTATTGTTATTGTCATGCTAAAGGTGATAGGTAGTAATTTTGAATTGCTATAAAAATGTCCAAACTAAGCTTTTATACAATTTTTCTTTCGAATAGTCTTCTATATTCATAAGAATCAGACATCATTTGAATTAAAATATTATATATTCAGTTAAATATGTGTGAAATTACAATACGTTTTTAGGAAGTTTCCACGGGAGATAATCAATTTTGCTTTCGAAAAGTCTTCTATATTCAAAATAATAATGTTTTAGGTTATCTCCCATGGAAACTTATAACAACGTATTGTAATTTTACATATATTTTACTGAATATAAGATGTTTTAATTCAAATGATGTCTGATTCTTATGAATATAGAAGACTTTTCGAAAGAAAAATTGTATGAAAGATTAGTTTGGACATTTTTATAGCAATTCAAAATTACTACCTTTCACCTTTAGCATGAAAATAACAATAAAAATTCTATACAAATTGTTAGACTGATTTTTATACGCCCGTTTACTGGACATATTATGGTATACTGTTGTCCGTCTGTCCGTCCGTCGTCAACATGTCGGACATTAACTCAAAAATGCTTTAACCAATTTGCATAAAACTTTGGTGAATTGTTTATATCTATTGATGTGAGCTCCCTTTCGTTTTTTATAAATTTTAATTTATACGTTTCCGAGTTATGGGGTTTTATTCATTAAAAAAAGGGGGATTTTCCAGTTTTCGGACAATAACTCAAGAATGCTTTCACCAACTTGCAAGAAATTGTGGTGAATTGTTTATATCTATTGACATGAGCTCCCTTTCGATTTTTATATATTTTAGATTTTACGTTTCCGAGTTACAGGGTTTTATTCATAAAAAAGGGGGATTTTGCAGTTTTCGGAAAAAAAATCAAAAATGCTTTCAGCAGTTCGTATGAAACTTTGGTGAATTGTTTATATCTATTGATGTAAGCTCCGTTTAGAATTTTATAAATTTTACATTTCACATTTCTGAGTTATGGGGTTTTATTCATTAAAAAAGGGGGGTTTTTCCAGTTTTCGGACAATAACTCAAAAATGCTGTCAGCAATTCTCATGAAACTTTGGTGAATTGTTTATATCTATTGATGTAAGCTCCCTTTACATTTTCATAAATTTCTAATATGACATTGAGAATTAATTGAACTTTATTTGTTTATAGTCTGACAACAGATTTACTAAGTATTGCGCAACAGCACAGTGTATTGCACTACAGCAAGAAATCTTTAATTGAATATAAATTCAATTCATATAACCAATTTCAAGTTCTTTGACTACATTTATTCAGAAACCTATAATATGTTAAATATTTAATACAATCCAAATTCAGACCTGTATCAAGCTTGAATATTGTGTCCATTTTTGCCCCAACTGTTCAGGGTTGGACCTCTGCGGGCGTATCCAGCTGTGCTCAGCGAAGCAGTTTATTCATAATAACAATGAAGTGGAATTAAAGCCTTATAGGATTGTAAGTATGCTTTATTTTATCACCTTGCACTTTCACTACTTGACCATGTTGACTGTGGTTTTCTACAGCAGTTTGTTCAAATTTCTGACCAGTTGAACAGTTTGGTTTTATAAAACAAATTGCAATTTGGTCAGAATAATAAGTTGCAATAGGTGGAGAGCAACACTTACAGTCAAGTCACAGTAAAGTATTGCTATTTTATTTTATTTTAATAACAATACATTTTCTGTCTTCAGGGTATGATTTAGTACAATGGTTGAGGAAGAGGTTTGATATGGAGGAGCAGAGAGAGGCCATTCATTTATCACAATTGTTATGTCAGTATGGATATATCTACCCACTGGACTTGAAAAGTTACAGTATAAAGGAGGACAGATCAGTAGAATACAGATTCCAGGTACATATTACAAAATACTGCCTTTTCTGAGTCTTCACTTGTGGTTGAGCTGCACAAAATTTAACATACCCAAATAGTGAACTTGACAAAAGTAAGGGTAAACAAGGAAACAAAACCTTTGCATATGCCTGTCCCAATTCTTCAACCTTGACAGTAGTTGTATTATGTCATATCTTAGTTTTTATCCTTATTAGGAAAATTGGGTTTTAATGACAGATCTTTGATTGTTTCTGTATAATGTATTCACAACTTTTAAACACTATGGATGATAAATCAGATTTAGAGCTTAACATACCTTTCTATCCTTGACCTCTAGATTTCTTTTGGTTATTTGGTTATATTTGTTGTTGGGTTCTGTCTTATTAACTATACTCTAAATCTCCTTTTATTCATATATATTTATTTATGTTTTCTGAAATTCTCTGCTTACTTTATTTTATTTATGTATGAAAATATCTTTCCTATAAAACTTTTTATGCCCCACCTACAAGAGTAGAAGGGGCATTATGTTTTCTGATCTGTGTGTCTGTTCGTTTGTCCGTCCGTCCATCTGTCCCGCTTCAGGTTATAGTTTTTGGTCAAGGTAGTTTTTGATGAAGTTGAAGTCCATTCAACTTGAAACTTAGTACACATGTTCTCTATGATATGATCTTTCTAATTTTAATGCCAAATTAAGAGTTTTGACCCCATTTTCACGGTCCACTGAACATAGAAAATGATAGTGCGAGTGGGGCATCCGTGTACTATGGACGCATTCTTGTTTTGAAATATTTAATAAAGTCTTGCAGTAGGGAAAAAATAGGGTAAGACTGGTAACAGGAACCACAAATTATGACTTGAACAAATGGTAGGTATTTGAAAATTTTTCAGGTTGTATTTCTCAGTAAAATAGTGTTTACTCTGAAATACATCAAAAACTGTCATTTTTTGAAAGCGAGGCATTTGAGATTAGGGGGATGTTTCATGCCTTTGGTGAATCAAGAAATCAAAATCAACTGCATACTCAGAAAGAATACTGTTCAGAATGAAAAATCTACAAAGGACCAGATGTATTTTGTGTACTAAAATTCCTTCATGTTATATCTCAGGAGAAATATTACATTATTTTTGAAGCAGTTTAACATAAATGGAGTTATAAACCTTGACTGTAAGATACTACTTCAGATCAAAAGATACTTTTGAATAAGTACTTCCTGATGTTAAGAAAATAAAGCTCATATATAGCTCTTCTTAGTCACCAGCTCATTACCCATAAAGCTAATATGTATATGTGAATTTAATATGGTTACATCGTCTTTCTCTAATTGGTAACATCCCTATGTTTATATTGAGATAGAACTCCATATGAACCTCACTGCATGAGTCACATGAAGTTAATATGAGATTTCAAAATGTGGAACAATCCCAAAATAAAGAAATTCAAAATTAAACAGTGATTTTTACAATCTAATCAAAATAAGTTCTTCCAGTTGAAATAGCTAAACTAATATGAATCTTCATTATGATTTCTTTTTCAGTCAGTTAGAATATAGCTAAACCAATCTGAATCTTCATTAAAAATTTCTTTTTACAATTACACCAAAAGATTCTACGAACCAACTTACATAGCCTCCACTAAATATAGAATGATTATCAGATGAGAAAACACTGATTATCCTTTCTCTTACACCAGTGCAGGTATGAGTTTTAGCACCAAAATCGAGAGGAATTATTTTATGGCCTTGTTAGTATTGTATGTCAAATGTCAATAAATATAGAGTAGAATTAACAAACAAACAAAATGGAAAATTGAGGGAAAAAATTATCTATCTTTAAGCATTTTTAGGATTTTATTATTAGATTACACTTGGAAACCATTTCATATGTAAACTAGGCACATTTTAAATCAAAAGGGGGAAGGTGTGGTAGGTTTCACAACTAATGTAACTATTTTCTGTATTTAAAAAAAAAAAACCCAAATCAAAATGGCTTCAACTGTTCCTGTGGAATACTATTTAACATCTCAGCAAATTGAAGATACATGTCCTGTATTATTTACATGTGAGCATAACTTTTTGTAATCATTTAGATAACATCTATTTCATAAATATGAAGGACAACTTTGTTTTATTTTTTTTTTCTCAAAGAAACAAAAACTGAAACCAACAATTGTCTGTTTCCTAGAAATAAAAAAACAGGTAGTCTCATCAATTTGTGTTTATATACTACATGAATTTCAGTGAAATGTAATGTATTAAAAACAAAACTTGAAAAGAAGGGATATATAAGTTAGGTAAATATGAAACAACAAACCCATGAAATACTAAGAAAAAACTAGTCTATTGAAGCAAAAGTGATTTTATTGCTGTAGGAGTCTTTATAAGAATAAAAGGGGATGTTGTGTAATAAAATCTGTGAGACAGCAACCCAACAACAAAATTTAGCAAAGACATCTACTGGGCAACTTTAAGTCGTCAACAATAGACAGGTGTCTGTATCACAGCAATGGTGTGCATTTAAAATGAAAGACAACTTTGATTTCTTTGTTTTCATATTTTTCTTTCAAGGAAACAGAAACTGAAACCAACAATTGTCTGTTTCCTAGAAATAAAAAACTGCTAGTCTCATCAATTTATGCTTATATACTACATAAATTTCTATAAATTGTAATGTATTTAAAACAAAACTTGGTCAGAAAAAGAAGGGATATATTGGTTGGGTCTATATAAAACAACAATCCCATGTATTACTACATGTACTAAGAAATAACCAGTGTTTTTATTGCTATTGTTTTTTTTTTAAATGGATAAAATAAGATGTCAGGTATTTACATCTATGTGAAAGCAACCCAACATCAAAAGACATCTAGAGGGCAACTTTAAGTAATCAACATTAGACAGGGGTCTATATAATGTGTCAAGCTCTAAACCATCCCGAGTTCAATTATGGTTGCTGGAATGCCTTATCCAAAATGAAAAAAAACCTGTATTCCACATCTACTGTATCACGAGCCAGTCAACACTGAGGTTGTGAGTTCGAATCCCGCACGGGGCAGGTGCACACGACTCCAATCTTAATTGACTTGGATTGATAGTTTTCCTACCGAAGGTCTGTGGTTCTCTCCGGGCACTCCGGCTTCCTCCATGAATAAAAAAACACTGCCACGAAATAGCACAATAGTGTTGAAAGTGGCGTTAAACACCAATCAATCAATCAATCTACTGTAATTAGTTTGTTACTGCTTATCATATTTTACACTTTTTATTTGACCTTCTTTTTGTCCCCTGCGCAACTTGTTTTGAAGGACATAGAAATAGCAGGCATCTGTCTGTGAGTCCATTTGTTCATGTAAGCACTCTCACATGTACAATTCTTGCCAGGTTTTAATCAAATTTATATCAGCAATGTCTTCAACTGTGATTTCCCAGTGAAATAAAAACTGATAATTTCACATATGAAATAAATTTGATAATTTCACTCCTCGGATGTCATACAACAATGGGTGTTGTCAAGACATTGTCGAGGACATTGCATCAAAACGAATTGGTAATGCGTAGAAAAAAATATAGTTCCTTTCATTTTCTACATCATTTCAATTAATATAAGTCCATGGTCAATGTAATAAAAAGAATAATTAATCCAAAAATTAAAATATCAACAAATATTCAACTCGTGACTGAACAACACTGATAATTAACTCATGCGCTACTCATATTCGTGAATTAATGTGTTGTTCGGCCACTTGTTAAATATTTTTCTATATTTGAATTCTTGGATTAGTTTTTCTTTAAATACTGTAAATGTCTTCAAATTTTTAATTTTGATATTTTTAGTATAATTAGTTGAATTCTGGCAGAATAGCTGTCACTTTGTGTTAGGCAGGATATGTTAATGTCCCAGAATAGCAGTGTTAGGCAGTATATATTTTAATGTCCCAGAATAGCAGCGTTAGGCAGGATATGTTAATGTCCCAGAATAGCAGTGTTAGGCAAGCTATGTTAATGTCCCAGAATAGCAGTGTTAGGCAGGATATGTTATATTCCAGAATAGCAGTGTTAGGCAGGATATTCAAATGTCCCAGAATAGTAGTGTTAGGCAGGATATTCAAATGTTCGAGAATAGCAGTGTTAGGCAGGATATGTTAATGTCCCAGAATAGCAGTGTTTGGCAGGATATGTTATATTCCAGAATAGCAGTGTTAGGCAGGATATTCAAATGTCCCAGAATAGCAGTGTTAGGCAGGATATTCAAATGTCCCAGAATAGTATTGTTAGGCAGGAACTTTACTGAGTTGAATATATGAAATTTGTACTTGCTTGTTTCAGTGTGTTTTATGGTTACATTAGATAACTACATTGGTCTATATATATTCTGCCCATCAACCTTCTTGAAATGGGTGCAAATGTAATTCTTGGTAATAATTCTTATTAAGAAGTTGTTTTATTTTTCAGAAACCATTTTATTGGCCATTCAGTAGTCAAGTATCAACAGACAGTATAGAATATGGTTTGTATAATGTTTTACTCAAATATTGACTTTCCATGAATTATGAATGGATTGAATTATATATCTGATAAAGTATGGTATTTTCTATACTGCTTGTAGAAGGTCAAGTACTGTTGATTAGTGAGACACCTGTCTGGGGATCATTGACACATCATTGACCTATTCATGAAATAGCCTAAACAGTTAATCATATGAAAGTAAAATGTTTCCTTTATATGACAACGAAAATCATCATCAGTTCAGATTTAAGATAAAAAAAAATGTTGCATAGATATGTTATTTGGCTGGGGATATTTAGTACGCTTTATAAAAAAAATAGCTTTCATACTTGAAATTATGGTATGTAGTGGCACATTTAGGGGGCAGGGCATTGAGGATGTTTTCAGACCCCCCCCCCCCCCCCCCTTTTGATTGTCAATTCTATCATTTTTAGCATAGAATTCTTCCAAAAACATTATACCATTAAGACGTTAGGACTCTTTTCACAAAATTCTTAGTAGATCAGTCAAGTAAAATTGAGTTGTAATGAAAATAATGATGAAAGATTTCGATAGAAAATTCTGCCAAGCTAGAAAATGTAATTATTAATACAAAGAGTTTTATCTCTTACTATACAATGCATTTTTTAATTTTCAGCAATTTATCTTCAGAAGAGAAGCATGAGAAATAAACAGAAACATGGCTTGGAACCCTATGAGCAGGTTTGTCCTTTTGAGAATAAAGGGAGATATTTTGTTGTTTGAAAAGTTATGACAAGATTAGTGTGGTAAAAACACATATAAAAGTACTGTGCCTGTCAAAGTGGAAATTATTCAACTTCTTTCCCAAAATTACTAGTAGAGAAAAATCATCTGATAGTTATTTAATGTTCTTCAAAATAGACATTCTATATTTAATTTTGAGCTTTTCAGTTGTTTCTTATGGAACTCTTTATGTATAAAACAAAATTATAACAAAAATAAACATAAGACATCTATTTCATTTATAGGTGCCCTGTTGTCACTAGCAACACACAGGAATCAGTTATGTTGTCATCATCATCCACATTATACTTTTAATCTCCGACCCCTTGAAAAGAAGATTGACAGAATTCAACCAAACTTGCACAGATTCTCTTACAGGACATGAAGTTGTGCACCTGTTATTTTAATTTTTGATCTAACTGATTTTCCAGTACAGCATTGATTACAAATTCAAATTACTTTAGTTTGCTATGTGCAACTCTTTAAACATTGCTAGACAGCAAGTTTTGCATCTACTATTTTTTTTTAACTTTTGATATGAATGATTTTTTGGGTTCTCCATACTTATAAATGTACCTAGCCATTTCTGGTTAATTTAGTGTCTAAAAATTGAAAGAAAGTCTTAATTTAGAATTGTAAGCATTGAAAAGCATTTATCATATTACTAATATATATATATAGTTAAACAAATTGTTGACACTGTCTTTTCAGGAAGCATTTGATAAATTACTGAAAGTCTACTGTGATAAAAAGGAATTTATTGAGAAACAAGCAACAGAACAGGTTGAGTAAGTAGATATTGGATAGAAGCAAATATTTGTATTCCTTTATTCTCGAAATAAACAACTTACTTACTTCAGCATAGTATTATCATATTCGCTTAATGTCCTATTTCCTTTTATTAAGGAAAATTTGCTTGACTTTTAAAATTCATTTTTTTTCAAATTTGCATTATATCATTTTATTTGTATTTAGCAGATTTGTAACTCCCTAAAAAAGACTCCAAAATTTAATACAAATTTCTGGTATCGATTAATAAAAAATGTAGGCATGTTAAATTATTAAAGCTCTCTTCTGTCGTAGACACGCATTTTACTGTGTTAGGATATTAATGCTTATACTTATTTTTAGTCCAAATTCTTATTTTTGTGTGGGATAGAACCAACTTAATTCCCAAATAGGAAATAAAGTATATACTAAGTTTAAGTTCCAACTTCAAGTGCCATATGTCATTAGCATAGCATGCGTGTTTTTTGCTGTTGCCAGGAAGAGTTATATTCTAGTTCTGGTTGTGTTAGTTAACTTTATACACAATATTCTCAGGCTGATTAGAAAAATATTCAAATGGTAAGTGTTAAGTAGATTGAGTGTGAAATATAATCAGAGTGTAGAACACAGTAGAATTCATTTAAAAGGAAGGGATTCATAGACCCTCCTTATAGCATACACAACTTCCTCTGTCTGTCATAGTTGTCATTTTTGAAGGTACAAGTGCAAACATATTTAAAAAAACAAACAAGTTTAGATACAGAACAGTTTTAGAGATGTCCAAAAATGGACAAAGACATCAATCTTTAAAATATTAAATTGTCACTCATTCTCGCTGCATAATTACAAATTTAACTCAATTATATATGGTTATTTAGCAATAGGTAAAGTAAATTTTTGTTCATCTTTAGTTGTTTAACATTCTTGGCTATGCTTTTTGAAATTTGTTTTCCCTGATAATTGATTCTTTTTTCAGACCTATAAAGTATTTTATAAACTACTTACTTTGCATGATTTTATTTTCAGTTTATTATAGTTGGTTTTGTTTGTAGTGAGTATGCACTGAGTTTTGACAGCAATAGAATTTCTCTCCCTGATTCTAAAAAGATTTGATATGCTTAAAAATTGCAACACACATTTTTTGTTACCATAATCCAATATAATAAGTCATGCATTTGGACTCCAAACACCAGGTAAACACCAATTTCATATCTCATTGGAGTCGGTTTATTTTTTAAAATTATTCCATTGTATGGGGTGGGAGAGATAATAATATATAGATATCAAAGATCTTAACCTCATATGTAAATTTATTGAATTAAAATTAAAGTATCTAAACTGAAATAAGTAGGTTCGAGATGCTTGTAAGGTAAAAAAATAAAAACTGAAAATTGAAAGTTGCAAGTTTTATTTAAATGGACGTTAATTTTGTTTAGGGGAAATAAGTTCACAACAAGCAGAAATAATTTCAATTTGATACATAAATATTTGAATACCAACAGGAAGATATTGGTCATATGTAAATAAGGTTTATTTATGTCTGAAAGAAGTAAAAATATCTACCATCTATCCTTTCAGCAACTCTATTGATAACTATTTTATTTTAGAAGATTATATTACATAGTGCTGCTTGCAATGAAAATCATTATCCCTTTCCCCCCATTTTAGCCCTCTCCTGTTTTCTTCATACTGACTGACTGTTGGTTTTTATGTAACTGAAAAAGAATATGTGCATAATGTTAGTTAATCTCACTTGCCCACTTATGCAGTTTTTCTTACTTTTTTAATAGATATGTTGATGGATCCTTTTTTAGTTCATTTCATTTGATTTAACAATTAGTTTTCCTTTCTGGAAATTAACATAGTGTTCTATTTAACCAGTGTGTGTTTTTGGATTGTTTTGAGGCTACACAGCATATAAAAATCACTTGGAAGAAAAGAATTTTGTGACAAGTTATTTGTTCCTTGTTTTTCTGGAATAATACAGCTGTCTTTAGACATATGCTTGAGAATTATAGATAAATGTTTAACAAATTTTCTTGGTTCAGTAGAACAGAATAAGTTTTGGAACAAATCATTTGTCACATATTTAATTTGCCTTTTTTGCAGCAGTATTCTATTTTTAATCATATTTTAACAAATTGACTTGTTATAAGGTATTTTCACAATTTAACACCTTGATATGAGTGAGATATGTCTCATCAATTCAGTTAAACCCTTGATATGAGTGAGATATGTCTCATCAATTCAGTTAAACCCTTGATATGAGTGAGATATGTCTCATCAATTCAGTTCACGTGCACCAGTGTAGTTCATAGACTTTATAGTGTATAGTTTTTAAAATATTTCGCATAACAGTGAGCATATTTATCTGAGTCTGCTAAAAAATAATGCAAATTGTACAATTCTTCATTGGTGATAAGTCATCAGTGGAATATAAACTGGAATTAAATGTAAGCACTCAGATTGTTTTCATTCACTGTGATAGTATGTTTTCGGGTGTTCAGTTTTTGTGAATGATGATAGTTGATATGTATATTTTGGGTGTTCAGTTTTTGTTATGCCTGCTTAAGTTAGTTTGATAGGAACTACTTGTGATAGATCAATGATATTTTCTATAAAGTTGCATTACTATCAGTACATATCAGTTTGAAGTATATTTTGAGACCTGCCCCTAGGACATGGTCCAGTGACTTTGAATTAATTAGCAATTTTCAATGTTAAGTTTTCTGCTTAAGTTATATTGATAGGAACTACTTACAATAGACAATGATATTTTCTGTAAAGTTACATTACTGTCTGTACATCTCAGTTTGTCAGTGTTAAGTTTCTGCTTAAGTTAGTTTGATAGGATTTACTTTTGATAGATCAATGATATTTTGTATGAAGTCGCATTACTATCAGTACATATTAGTTTGTTGACCCTTTTCAGGCTTTGCACACTAGATCATGGTCCAGCGACTGAATTAATAAGCAATTTTGCTGTCCATCAGATTGTCTTTTTCTGAATTTTATGCCGACAGGCGAGACATATCCCTGTGTCAAGAGTTTATTGTGCATAATGATAGTATATTTTGGGTGTTCTTTTTTTGTGGAAAAATAAATGGTATGGTTTGTGTTTAAAAAATTTTTTATTGTTATTTTCATGAATGAACTAAGAGGAGTTATGCATTTTGTTGGGTATTAAAATTTGTTTTTTTTTTATACAAAAAGTTCACATCAATGGGTACCACATATAATTAAATATTTTCACAATATCACTGACAATTAAATAATGATTTTTTATTTACTAATGCATGTATATTTACATTTCTTTTCTATTATAGTATTGATATAGCAATTGTTGTGCCTTGCATATAATACATTGCATAATATGATTTTTCAGTGAAATAAAGAAAAAGAAGAGAACTGAGAAGATAATATTTGACCAACAAGAGAGGGCATTCTGGAGAATACATCGACCACCAGTAAGCTATCTTTCAGAAAATTACTTTTTTTGAATTTGAGGAAGACAGTTTTTATACGACCGCAAAAAAATTTTGTGGTCGTATATTGGTATGACGTTGGCGTCGTCGTCGTCCGGCGTCGTAGTCCGAAGACACATTGGTTTTCGAACTCTAACTTTAGTTTAAGTGAATGGATCTTTTTGAAATTTGACCATAAGGTTAAATACCACAAAAGGAAGGTTGGGATTGATTTTGGGGGTTATGGTACCAACAGTTAAGGAATAAGGGGCCAAAAAGGGGCCAAAAATAAGCATTTTCTAGTTTCCAGACAATAACTGTGGAACGGTGTATGGATCTCTCTGAAATTATACTACAAGTTTCCATACCACAAAGGGATGGTTAGGATTTGCTTTGGGGGGTTATGGCTCAAACCGTTTAGGAATTAGGGGCAAAAAAGGGGGAAAAACAAGGTTGTCCTGGTTAATGGACAAATACTTTAGTACAAAACATAATTTAAAGCAGTGTAAGGGAGATAAATCAAATACATCATTGAAATTATCTCCCTTACACTGCTTTTAAATTATGTATAAAGTAATGGTTAATGAACAATAAAGATAATTTAAAACAGTGTAAGGGAGGTAATCCAAATACAACGTTTTGGTTACTTCCCTTACACTGCTTTTAAATTATGTTTAAAGAAATACATATTTATAAAGGAAGACCAGTAAAAATATCTGCAAATGTTGCATCTTTTTTTTTTACAAAAAAATCCATATGAAAGATTTGACACTATATTTTTAATTCTATTATAAAATAGATTAAGTTAGCACTATGGTAAATTTAAATGGGTAATTATGGTTGCCAACTCCATTGGAAATTTGAATTGAGATTATGACCATATCTTGAGGGAAAGAATTTTTTAGGGGAAAAAAGGGGGGGGGGGATAAAAAGAAATTGTGGGGGGTCAATTTTTTCTCATTTCAGATTTCAGAAAGTAAAAAGAATTATCCTCAAATATTATTTTTTTTTCAAATTTCAAATATTGAAAAATTTCAAGAAGTAATCTTTAATTGCACAGTATGGCGCATTAGATTTGTAAAATCTTTGATCACATTTATTTATTTGTTATGCCGAATCTAACAGTGTATTTAGATTTTTAATTTTGGGTCCAGTTTTCAAATTGGTCTACATTAAGGTCCAAAGGGTCCAAAATTAAACTTTGTTTGATTTTAGCAAAAATTGAATACATGAGGTTCTTTGATATGCTGAATCTAAACATGTATTTAGATTTTTGATTTTTGGCCCAGTTTTCAAGTTGGTCCAAATTGGGGTCCAAAATTAAACTTTGTTTGATTTCAACAAAAATTGAATATATGGGGTTCTTTGATATGCTGAATCTAACCAAGTATTTAGATTTTTTATTTGTGGACCCCGTTATCAAATTGGTTCATATTGAGGTCAAAAGGGTCCAAAATTAAACTTTGTTTGATTTCATCTAAAATTGAATTATTGGGGTTCTTTGATATTCCAAATCTAACCGTGTATTTAGATTTTTAATTTTGGGTCCTGTTTTATAAATTGGTCTACATTAAGGTCCAAAGGGTCCAAAATTAAACTTAGTTTGATTTTAACAAAAATTGAATTCTTGGGGTTCTTTGATATGCTGAATCTAAACATGTGTTTAGATTTTTGATTATGGGCCCAGTTTTCAAGTTGGTCCAAGATAGGGTCCAGTATTTAAACTTTGTTTGATTTCAACAAAAATTGAATATATGGGGTTCTTTGATATGCTGAATCTAAACATGTATTTAGATTTTTGATTATGGGCCCAGTTTTCAAGTTTGTCCAAATTGGGGTCCAAAATTAAACTTTGTTTGATTTCAACAAAAATTGAATATATGAGGTTCTTTGATATGCTGAATCTAACCATGTATTTAGATTTTTTATTTGTGGGCCCCGCTATCAAATTGGTTCATATTGAGGTCAAAAGGGTCTAAAATTAAACTTTGTTTGATTTCAACAAAAATTGAATATATGGGGTTCTTTGATATGCTGAATCTAAACATGTATTTAGATTTTTGATTATGGGCCCAGTTTTCAAGTTGGTCCAAATTGGGGTCCAAAATTAAACTTTGTTTGATTTCAACAAAAATTGAATATATGAGGTTCTTTGATATGCTGAATCTAAACATGTATTTAGATTTTTTATTTGTGGGCCCCGCTATCAAATTGGTTCATATTGAGGTCAAAAGGGTCTAAAATTAAACTTTGTTTGATTTCATCAAAAATTGAATTATTGGGGTTCTTTGATATGCCAAATCTAACTGTGTTTTTAGATTTTTAATTTGGGTCCCATTTTTTAAAATTGGTCTTCATTGAGGTCCAAAGGGTCCAAAATTAAACTTAGTTTGATTTTAACAAAAATTGAATTCTTGGGGTTCTTTGATATGCTAAATCTAAACATGTGTTTAGATTTTTGATTATGGGCCCTGTTTTCAAGTTGGTCCAAGATAGGGTCCAGTATTTAAACTTTGTTTGATTTCAACAAAAATTGAATATATGGGGTTCTTTGATATGCTGAATCTAAACATGTATTTAGATTTTTGATTATGGGCCCAGTTTTCAAGTTTGTCCAAATTGGGGTCCAAAATTAAACTTTGTTTGATTTCAACAAAAATTGAATATATGAGGTTCTTTGATATGCTGAATCTAACCATGTATTTAGATTTTTTATTTGTGGGCCCCGCTATCAAATTGGTTCATATTGAGGTCAAAAGGGTCTAAAATTAAACTTTGTTTGATTTCATCAAAAATTGAATTATTGGGGTTCTTTGATATGCCAAATCTAACTGTGTTTTTAGATTTTTAATTTGGGTCCCATTTTTTAAAATTGGTCTTCATTGAGGTCCAAAGGGTCCAAAATTAAACTTAGTTTGATTTTAACAAAAATTGAATTCTTAGGGTTCTTTGATATGCTAAATCTAAACATGTGTTTAGATTTTTGATTATGGGCCCAGTTTTCAAGTTGGTCCAAGTTGGGGTCCAAAATTAAACTTTTTTTGATTTCAACAAAAATTGAATATATGGGGTTCTTTGATATGCTGAATCTAACCATGAATTTAGATTTTTTATTTGTGGGCCCCGCTATCAAATTGGTTCATATTGATGTCAAAAGGGTCCAAAATTAAACTTTGTTTGATTTCATCAAAAATTGAATTATTGGGGTTCTTTGATATTCCAAATCTAACTGTGTATTTAGATTTTTAATTTTAAGTCCCGTTTTTTAAATTGGTCTACATTAAGGTCCAAAGGGTCCAAAATTAAACTTAGTTTGATTTTAGCAAAAATTGAATTATTGGGGTTCTTTGATATGCTGAATCTAAACATGTGTTTAGATTTTTGATTATGGGGCCGCCCAGTTTTCAAGTTTGTCCAAGTTGGGGTCCAAAATTAAACTTTGTTTGATTTCAACAAAAATTGAAAATATGGGGTTCTTTGATATGCTGAATCTAAGGGGACGACCATTTGATATTCTGAGGGGGGCCAGGAGGATTTTGAAAATAAATAACTCAGCCTTGATAATTACAAAAATAAATGGTTTGTTCTGTGGTAGTTTGAAAATAAATGACCTGACTTGCAATGTATTGAAAATAAATAACTCAGCAGGTCTAATCGAAAGTATGAGATGGCACCAGATTCTTCATAAATTAATCTTTTTTCCAAAAAAAAAAATCGGGAAACACTTCCCATATCTTTTAATAATAAAAGTATAAATATTATTTAAATATACTTGAAATGTCAGAAAATTGGTTTCATTTAACTTGAGGTTAATTGTCTCAGGAACACTTACCTCACTTTTATTAAATCAGGGCCGTAACTACATTGAGACAAATGCCTCATGTAGGAAATTTCAAAACCAAACGCTTGTCTCCATATCAAATTGTGTTCACCGTGAGTGCCTTGCAAGAAGCAAGTTCTGTTCTCCCTCAGACCTAGCTCCTGATTTTTCAGGATCAATATTTCTTATTTATTTGTCTTTTGTTCATTGATTGCCCTTCTGTATTCTGTTAGTGTTGCATTCATTTTGTAATTTAGTAATTTTATTATTAACTTGATCATGAGTTTAAAAAAACACAGCAGCCACAGACTTAACTATGTGAATTACATTTTTGCTTTTAATATCATGCATATTTGTCTTTTGATGTTGTTCCTAGAAACTTAAGTCTTACACTGAATCTATAACGTGATTTTGCTTTGAGACCAAAATATTGTCATAAAATTATTAAAACAGAACTTGCATTTTCAGTTTAAGAAAGGGTCTGGGGAACACCCAGAAGGCATGATTTTGCATCATTTGTTCTATAGCTTCTTGGGCCTTCAGCGGTTCAAAAACCCTTCAAAAAAAATTTTGCCTCGCTCCGCTCGGCGAAACATGTTTGCCAATACTTTTAGAAGAGCCTTAGTTTCAACCAAACTTTAATACTGTGTATGTATGCAATACATGTATATGCATTGGGGGATATAAAAAGATTCATTTCTGCAGAGGATAATAATTAATTCTGATTAAATGGTACATAATGACTTGACTATACATGAATTATTTATAATAAACAAATAATTTAAAAATTGTATGTTTTCGAATATTATAAATATAGTTGTGAAAATAAATAATCAGTCCCTTGCTTTAATGAAAATGAAAAATCTTGCTTCAATAGTGCAGAAAATAGATAATCTGTCCTCTTAGTTTACAAAAATAAATAACCGATCCACAACAAATCCTCCTGGCCCCCCCAGAATATCAAATGGTCGTCCCCTAACCATGTATTTTGATTTTGGACATTGAACCATAATAGGTAAATTAAAAAAATTCAAGTTCTTAGACCACATTCTTTCTGTGTCAGAAACCTATGCTGTGTCAAATATTTAATAACAATCCAAATTCAGAGCTGTATCAAGCTTGAATGTTGTGTCCATACTTGCCCCAACTGTTCAGGGTTCGACCTCTGCGGTTGTATCAAGCTGCGCCCCAGCGAAGCATTTTATTAGTAGATAAAATCATATATAATTCTTAGGAATATGAAAACTATAGGTTTCTTCCAAAATGAATATAAAGAGTCATTTGCTGAAACATTTTTCCAAAAAAAAAATCTCCAAATAGCAATGGATTGGTCAATTTATTATTTGTTATCTTATAATCACTTGCAAATATTACAAGCAAATTACAAGAACAAAAGACTTTAAACATAAATCAGTTTTCAGGATTTGAAACAATGGAGACCTGGAGAAAAAAAGGCTTGCTTCCATTTAAGAAATAGCTTCTTAGAAGGATTGAATAGTTTACTTTGCGTTCTTCAAGTGGAATGTCTACTTAGCTCATGTATTTGAAAAGTGCCTGTACCAAGCTTAAAACAAATGTTATAACCTGTTCTAACTACAGGTTGTTGTACCAAGCTTAAAACAAATGTTATAACCTGTTCTAACTATAGGTTGTTGTACCGAGCTTATAACAAATGTAATAACCTGTTCTAACTGAAGGTTGTTGTATCAAGCTTATAAAAAATTTAATAACCTGTTCTAACTGAAGGTTGTTGTACCAAGCTTATAACAAATGTTATAACCTGTTCTAACTGAAGGTTGTTGTACCAAGCTTATAACAAATGTAATAACCTGTTCTAACTATAGGTTGTTGTACCAAGCTTATAACAAATGTAATAACCTGTTCTAACTGAAGGTTGTTGTACAAAGCTTAAAACAAATGTTATAACCTGTTCTAACTGCAGGTTGTTGTACCAAGCTTATATATGCATAAATTAGGCCGTTAGTTTTCTCGTTTGAATTGTTTTACATTGTCATTTCAGGGCCTTTTATATATAGCTGACTGTGCGGTATGGGCTTTGCTCATTGTTGAAGGCCGTACAGTGACCTATAGTTGTTAATTTCTGTGTCATTTTGTCTCTTGTGGAGAGTTGTCTCATTGGCAATCATACCACATCTTCTTTTTTATATTATAACAAAGTTATAATCTGTTCTTTTTTCAGGTTGTTGTACCAAGCTTAAAACAAATGTTATAACCTGTTCTAACTACAGGTTGTTGTACCAAGCTTATAACAAATGTTATAACCTGTTCTAACTACAGGTTGTTGTACCAAGCTTAAAACAAATGTTATAACCTGTTCTAACTGCCGGTTGTTGTACAAAGCTTATAACAAATGTTATAACCTGTTCTAACTACAGGTTGTTGTACAAAGCTTATAACAAATGTTATTACCTGTTCTTACTTCAGGTTGTTGTACAAAGCTTAAAACAAATGTTATAACCTGTTCTAACTACAGGTTGTTGTACCAAGCTTATAACAAATGTTATAACCTGTTCTAACTACAGGTTGTTGTACCAAGTTTATAACAAATGTTATAACCTGTTCTAACTACAGGTTGTTGTACCAAGCTTAAAGCAAATGTTATAACCTGTTCTAACTAAAGGTTGTTGTACCAAGCTTAAAACAAATGTTATAACATGTTCTAACTACAGGTTGTTTTACCAAGATTATGACAAATGTAATAACCTGTACTAACTACAGGTTGTTGTACCAAGCTTATAACAAATGTTATAACCTGTTCTAAATACAGGTTGTTGTACCAAGCTTAAAACAAATGTTATAACCTGTTCTAACTACAGGTTGTTGTACCAAGCTTAAAACAAATGTTATAACCTGTTCTAACTATAGGTTGTTGTACCAAGCTTAAAACAAATGCTTTAACCTGTTCTAACTACAGGTTGTTGTACCAAGCTTAAAACAAATGGTATAACCTGTTCTAACTACAGGTTATTGTACCAAGCTTATAACTAATGTTATAACCTGTTCTAACTACAGGTTGTTGGATATACTGTAAATCAAATCATTTTCACATACCGTATAGAAAAAAAACACAGAAATGAATCATGGTGAATTTGTCACACATTGATATTTTTATGAACACATCAACAAAGTTGGGAAAATTGCAAAGTTGGCTAAATATGGCTTATTTTATCATGGGAATGGATACCCTTAATCGTAGATAAAAATGTAGGATAACATATGCATTTTATTCTAGATGCTTCTTGCAAAAAGATTCCTTGACAAGTAATTTAACATAACACAATTCAAACATCAGAGACATTTTTTTTTAGCCTGGATGTGTGAAAAATTTAGAAGAGGGACCAAAGAAAAATTTCCTACCACAACAAATCATAGCAAGAAAGAAGACAAAGGAAGCTTTGCGTAAAGAGGTTTGTCTTTTGGTATATCAAATTTGAAACCAGATCAATTCTGCTAAGGATTAATTTGACATGTTTAAAACCAATGCATATCAATTTTAAAATGATTTATACAAGACAGGCGATCTACTATTCCTACACAGATAAAAATCAAAAAAATTAATGTCAAATTTATGTTTTATAGCTTTTGTGATATTTAAAATGCCGCGGAAAATATGTTTAGGTGCAATTGAAAAAAAAGATACAACAAAATGGAGGAATGTTACAGATAATGTACAACTTTTATAACCATCCAGTAATCTAAAGTTAACTTTCAGATGACCTGTAAACATTATTGGAAATGATTTTTTTTCAGACATTATTATCATTGCAATTTTTGCAATGTCAACTTGAAAATAATCTTTGCAAAATGTAACATGATATTTTTCAATGAAATTTAAACAATACAAAATTTGAAAAAAAAAGATAGCATGAAAATGTCTGAACATATAGTTAATGATTTGTGTATTTACAGATTGCATTCTTAAAGAAATCATTTGGACGACCTAGAATGAAGTTTTCTATGGTGTTTGAGTCGTAAGTATTTGTTCAACAAAAGATATTTTTCAAGATGTATTTAAGTTCCAATCTGCCTAAGAATCAGGCAGTAGTGAAAACATGGCAAACATAAACCTGCTCAAGTTTACATTAATTTAAGTTCAAAATGTATAATGTTGCACGAATATAACATTGGTTTCCTTTTCTTGTTCTGGTATTTCAAGAAATGATTTGGTTGAAATGCACTAGAAATAAAAACTTGAGAGGAGCTAACCGTGTAATTTACTATCATTCTAACAGAAAGTTATCTAGATATTTCTTGAATTACCAGACATGGAAAAATGAAAGACCTACCATTTCTAATTCAGGATGAGGGTAACTACAAAAAAGTATGGTTAGGTTGGCAGATTTTTTGCGGCTATGTTTTGAATTTCTTCTAAATTTTACTCCCACTCTTGGAGTGCATTCATCTTGTACTTCTATCTGTCAGTCCAACAAACATTTCTATTCCACTTTTTAAGGTATCACTGCACGGAATGACTTCATATTTAGTCAACAGTTTGACGTTTATGGATGGTATAGTGTAAGCACTTTTCAAATCTGTCAGACATAAACTTCCTGTTGGTCAATATTTTGAATTTCAATTTTGGTTATGCTTAGCACAACAATCTTGTTTGTTCTGAATATTTAATTAATCAAAAATTAATGTAATTTATAATTACCAACATTTAACGAAGTAGCAGTTGACTGGTACTATTTATAGTACACCTATGACTTAAGCTAAGATCAAACTGTTGTAATTATGACAATGAAGACTTTTTTGTCTTTGAAACACAGTTTCAATTTGTTCAGATCCAAAATTCTGGAAAGCTGATGATGTATCAATATTTTGGAGCAGCATATTTAAAATCAACGGTGACCTATAGTCGTTAACTACTATGTCATTTGGTCTCTGGTGGAGAGTTATCTCATTGCCAATTATACAACATCTCCTTATTTTTATATAAAAAGAATGAAACAAACAATTTACAAGATTTATTTATTTATCAGCTGTGTGTATTAATATTAAATTAATTGTACAATAATTGTAAATTACCATTCAATTAAGTATGAGATGTCACATCTAAATATATCCTTTTGTAAACCAAATGTTGTGGAGTTAATACCACATTGATCTGAATGGCTGGTTAATTTCAGGTACAAATTACGATGGGAACAGTATAAAGAATTTGATCCTTTCATGGATGTTTCAGCAACCCAACCATCAAATCCTTGGATGTCTGATGAAACTATGTTGTGGGAAATCAATTCTCCAGAGTAAGAAACCATCTCAAAATATAACAGTTTAAATCATTTAATTTCTGACCTTCCATGCCATCTACTTTGAATTCACAAATTATTTGCATGCATTTATTTTGGCAGTTGTTTAACAATGGACAAAAATTTGAGATTTATGATTGGGATTTCATGAAATACTACATACTAATAATGCTATGAAAATTTTAGATTCTGTCACAATTCTTGCAATTATAAAAACGTCACAAAATTTATGCAATTATAAAAACACAAAATTTTTGCAATTATAAAAACATCACAAAAATTTTGCAATTATAAAAACATCACAAAATTTTTGCAATTATAAAAAAAAAATAACAAAATTTTTGAATTTACAGTATTAGATATCCAAAATATACAAGTATTGACACATGTCAATACTCAATAATTATTGCGAAAGAAATGAAACTTTTTCACAGAATCATTTGCATATTACCTGTCAATTTGAACTTGTCAGTTCACTTGTCCCATTGAATAAATACAACAGCTACTGTTCTCTGTGTAGTTTATTCACGGAGACCTTTAAATTTCTTCTAAGAGAAGTCCATCACTCATTAATTAATTTACCTGAAGAAAAAAATATCTTCTAAGGAAACGAAAATACATGTATCAACTCACAAAACTGCATATGGTGTTAAATTTATTCAATATCAATTATATATCTTCAATCTGTTCAATATAAACACAGATTTAATCATAAAAAGGTAATTTCTGATAAAAACAGTTTGAAAACAAAAACCCAACTTTCTCAAAATGACAGGAATAGTGTGAAAAAAATTTCCATATTCTTGGTTGGAAACCAAAAATTACATTAGACTACCCTACCAATGCTCTGTAACAAGATTTGTCTGTCTGTTTTTAACTAATGAAACTTGTCACTGAGGCAGATTTTTGTGTTTTATTTACTTCTTGGTTACCATCAAAATTGTGATGCATTACCAGTCATTAGGTTGGTCAGTGATTATTATATAATTAAACTAGTATTCAATTCAAACAAACAATGTACTTTAGACTTACCCGTATAGAAAAAATTAGCACTTGTGTTGTTACTCATTTTTTTTTAAAATTGTATGATACAAACCACTGCTAAGAAAGCATACACTTGAAATGAGGAAAAATCCTTTCTTATTATCGAGCGCTGGTATGGAGAGTCTACCTGAAAAATAAAAACTGTAGTTGGGTTGTGAACCCACACATTGGGTTAGCGGTTGAAAATACTGAATTTTTATGGAAAAATACATTTCTGGGATCATGGGACTTACAGTAAGGTATGCAATCTTACTGAATTCAGTAAATACATACGGTTTGCTTACATAAGATCTAAAAAAATATTCCTAGTTACTGTGGATTCTTTGTTATTAGTGGGAGATTTCGTGGGTAAATGTGGTTCATGAATTTAAATGTTCAATGAAGTGTGAATTTTCTATAGGCTTGTATGCAAACCTTGGCAAACGACAAAATCATATATCCACAGAAAATACACAATTTTTCCTCAATCCATGCAAATATATGAATTCCCAGTAACATTAATTTTTACAGCTAATGTAAAGTGTTAAATGTTTTGTATGATAATGTATTTACTTTTTTTTTCAAAACAGTGTTCACATTCCTACCGATTCCAGAATGAGGAAATGGGCTATAAGTTTTTATGAACTAATTAATGACCCTCGTGGACAATGTGAATTTGATGAATATTTACAAAAAGAATATAGTCATGAAAATTTACATTTCTGGTGTGCTGTGGAAAATTATAAATGTTGTCCAAGATCTCGACAGAAAGAAGAAATGAATAATATATATAAGTAAGTTTAAATAAATAACCCTAATATAAATTTAGAAATTATTGCATGGATTTGACATGTTTGTTCCTGTGATTGCTTATCAGCAGAAAAAGAAATCAAGACTGATTATTGCAATTTTAGAAAAAATGCACACAAATAAAGCAATCAAAATATGAAATGTGATTAACTATTGATCCAATGCTGATGCCAATGCATTTGTTTGCAATAATAAGACAATCACAAACAATATTTGGATGTACTGTAGTAAATAATCTATTGTAACATAGGAACATAGGTAAGTTTTATACTAAAATATTAATTAGAAAAAAGCTAATTGTGTCTAGGTTGAAAAACCACAATTTTTTCCACGAATAGCAGTACTTTTATGGTAATTACATTACCCTTAATTGAGTATGCTCCAATTGATTTCATTTAAGCTTGACACGATTAATGGGATAAGTAAAAGTAAGATCTACTTTCTATGAAGAAAATCTTCTGATTTGTCATTCCAGATTTTATATTGGACTTTAATCTTAAAACAATTAATGGGATAGGAAAAAGTAAGCTACTTTCCATTTTGTAAAAAAAAATTCTAATTTGTCTTTCAAGAGTTTATATGGGACTTCACCATTCAAATTTAAGGTGACTTTTTTTATACATAAAGGATATTATCCTCCTGCAGGTTTTTCTGCAAGGTCATGTAACTTACTTCTGATATAATGCCTTCTACAATGTTTCATTTTATTCTTGCAACAATTTCAATATCCATATAGTGGTGTATCCTGTGCTGCTAGTGCTGCTGTTTATTTAAATATTTTTCTATCCTGCCTTTTTACATAATTAAATGATGTTATCCTGGCACAGAAGAAAAAATTAAACTGAATTCAATATCTTTTATGGATAAATCAGCAGTGTATCTGATGTAAGTCTGACATAGTTGCCTGAAACATTGTCAGAACAGTTATTGTACCCAACACATCAGAGATATGGATAATAATAATATATTGTTACCATCCTTCTGTCATTACTCTGGGGCCTCAGTGGATACATTCTGGTTTGAAAGTAGGATTAAGGAAAATAAGAAATAGATAACCATAATTTTAAAGATGTAGTACTTTGATCTTGTCCTTGGGGAGATATGGGATATATTAGCTTTTTCATCAAATTATTTTCAATTAATTATTAAAAACTTTTAAAGGTTTGAAAATAATGTACATGAAAACTGAAAATGATTTTCAGTTTATCCTTAATCCACATCATGCTCTACTATCTTTAAAATATCTTTCTGAAATGTTTATTTGTTTCCCTCATTATACAAATTTTAACTGATGTCATATAAAAAAAATTATCAGGGAAGTATTCATAGTATTTTAAACAATTGAGGTTGTTTATCATTTATATCTATAATAACTTACATACCTGGATATATCTTATATCAATATAGAATATTTCCTTGACTTTTTCACACGAGAAAATTATTCTTCATGAGCACAAAAGAGTGCTTTAAATGATAGATAAAGAATGTTAACTTTTGTCAACATAATTTAATGTAATGTAATTGTCTCGCCTGGTACAAATGTCGCAAAATGGGAGACATAGAGATGCTAATCTGACGACAGTGATGGTGTAAACTGTTTGTATAAAGCTTTCTATTTCTGAAGGATGAGACCATGGCCCTTGGTCATAAAACTTTACTCAGTACTCGTAGTACCTAGAGACCATGGCCCTTGGTCATAAAACTTTACTCAGTACTCATAGTACCTAGAGACCATGGCCCTTGGTCATAAAACTTTACTCAGTACTCGTAGTACCTAGAGACCATGGCCCTTGGTCATAAAACTTTACTCAGTACTCGTAGTACCTAGAGACCATGGCCCTTGGTCATAAAACTTTACTCAGTACTCGTAGTACCTAGAGACCATGGCTCTTGGTCATAAAACTTTACTCAGTACTCGTAGTACCTAGAGACCATGGCTCTTGGTCATAAAACTTTACTCAGTACTCGTAGTACCTAGAGACCATGGCCCTTGGTCATAAAACTTTACTCAGTACTCGTAGTACCTAACTATCCAGTATTTTGATTGGTTGATTTCTGAGTCTTAAGAACAATAATCGTGCTAGAATTTTTATGACCGCTAGGCCAGGATACTTCATATTTTAAATATAGATGCCTTATGTTCTGAAGTTTCTGTCATACATGTCTGTTTTTCTTGACCTCTTTTTCTTGGTTTTAGTGACTGCTTAAAATAAGTGCTTTTTATCAGGCAATTTGTTCAGTTATTATGAGTAAAAGGATAACCATATTTGGTATGTAGAATCATTGCAAGGTAAACATTCCCTCAGACAATGTTCATCTGACTGTGAACGCATTTCATTGATCAGTGATCAACTTTAAGTTTTCGTGGTTAGGTCTGATACTATTAGCTATAGGTCAACTTTATTTAGTATTTAGAAAGATTTTATGGTGTTTATTTATGTCTGGCAGGGTTCATCTGAACTTGACCTCATTTCCATGAATCGTACGTCAATGTTAAGAATTTGTGATTATGTCTTTTCTTGGAAACAATAAGCAATAGGTTGGTTAACTGTATTTAGTGTATGGAATGATTTTAAAGTGTAAATGTCCATCCGTCATTATTCACTGACCTTGAGCTCATTTTTATGGATCATTGATAATGTGAAGTTATGTGATGCTTGTAGTAAGACCTTGATCTTAATGGAGTTCAATTTAAAATTCTATCATGATCAGGAAAGTAGTCTAGACATTGTAGTGTGTGCACTTGTGTTTATATCCTTATGCTGACAGTAATATACAAAAACTTTTTATGTCACCTTTGTGGATTGTAATGACATGTAAGAAAGATAAAGGTCTTTTGAAAAGTTGTGCAAAGTAAAATTAGCTAATTTTAAAAAATTAATCTGCTATTAGAACATGTAGAATGAGTTTTGTTTGAATAAATGTAAACATATTCATAATTTTTACTTGCAGAAATGAAATATTTTGAAAAAAGTTTGCCTGATTTGTGCACTTTTTGGTAATGTAATATACATTGATACTTTCAGAATATATTTAGAGAAAGGATCTAGAAGTGAAGTTAATGTAGATAGTAAAACATTAGATCAAGTCCACCAAAATATGAGATCCAGTTCAGAATCCAATGCAAAGTGAGTGTTAGTTATAACATCAATAAGCATATATATTTTCCCTGCATTTTTTCTATTTTTTTTTCTAGTAAACTTCTCAAAAACCTAATACTGAGAAGTGTAAAGTTGAAATGTTCTTGATGTATTTCATTAGCAGTTATTTGCACCTTCGGGGGTTGAAAAAATATTGGGACTTTTTGTAGAAAATTAAAAATTTATAATTACAGTTGAGTGTTTTTGGAAACCATTTAACAAGGTCATAAGTCTTACAATGCATACAATTCATAATGACAATACATGTATGTAAAACCTTAACTTCTTCTTCTGAAATTGGTTTAAACAAAACAAAGAATATATTCATAGCTAGATGGACACCAGATCTTGATATTATGAAAAAATGTACATGAACACAGCTCATAAGCAAAAGCATACATAAATAAAGAAAATCATTACAATTATAATTGATGAAATGCTGGTTTAATGTTTATTAAATTTATTTTTTGTTAAGTTTAAAAAATATCAAAGAATAAAAAAAAACCTATAATCAGCTATCCCGCCACCACCCATGAACAACCAACTAAAACGAGTTATATCGTTCAAACTACATTAAAAACTAGATATATAGTGGGAAAAAAGTGGGAAATTGCCAATAGCCCTGACAGCAAGAAAACATACAAATATGAGTCAAAAGTGTTTATTAACCAAGACTCTGAGATACAGAAAGTCTCTTCTTAACTGTCAGTAATATAGCTGTCTTTACCAATATCAGACCTCCGTTTTCTGTACCTTTAAATGGATCATTCATTAATATCTGAACTGGATGTAGGGGCTGCCTCAATTTTATTCCTGCAAAATGGAATGACTAAATCAAAACACTAATCTGAAAGTTATCTTTTAGTTTAAGTAATCCTGTCTTAAAAACACCATTTTTACTTGCCTCCTTGACAATACATCTGAGGTAAGTAATGAATATTTCTCACGAAATAAAAAATACACCATTTCTTTGTAAAATAGGCCAATACTGGTCAGATGCCCATTCTGGGACTATCCGAGGTCCTTCTGCATTGTCTTGTTTTAATTTATTTAGAGATTTTGAATAAGATTGCAGTGCTAGCCAGTTTACATCATTAACACAAAACTGAGTAAACGTGTCAATAGATTTTGTCCTTGAACACCATACATTTGAATTGAATCTCTCATATTGAGTATTATTGTGTGGTGCAAATCTGTCTAAAGTACTTTTCCAGAGGCGTATTTAGGAGGGGCAGCCTAATACCCTAATTGTCATGATCCATGACTCTGCTCAATAAAATATTTTAACTCTTGGAATCCAATTAGTGTTTAGTCAACATTTTGCACTTTACAAAGCTCATGAATTGAAGTTGCAGTAGAATGTTATTTCATTTGTCATGCTGCCTACCTTTTAAATATGTTCAACATTCATATCTGAATTTAGGGGCATTAAGGCCAGGTTTTGGCTCAAGAAATTCAAGTTTTTGAGAACTATCTCATATTTGCACATAATGTTTGGAAATGCATAGAATTAAGAAATATACATGAAATACAGAAGATTATTGATGTTATGACGCCACAGTTACCTCATAATATGCAATGTTTTCAGGAAAATTGCAGAATTTATGAAGTTTTTCATCGTTATTTCCATTGTGCGCAGCAAAGAAACAGCAAAATAATTTAAGAGAAGCTTATTATACTTATTGGCATAATCTCACCAAATATAAAGTTGTTTCTTGGGTGCACACATACTTTCCCAATCTAATACATACTATTAAATTGATGTAAAACAAAGAAAGTCAAGAAATTTTGTTATGGTTTGTTGCCATGGTAACTTGTTAAATGTGAAATTTGTTTTTATTTTCTGAACACCTTGTACCTAAGTGTTGTTATAACAAATTTGAGAAAATGTATGGTAACTTTTCAATTTGCACCAAATTTGGGCCAACTAAGGGCCTTATTGCCCCTACTCCTTTGTTTGTTTTAAGTAACATTGCTCAAAATGTTAAGGACTGTAACACTCACCATGAGATTCATCATGAGCTATTTAAAATCACAAATCTCCTATCTGGGGTTTAACTTGTTTGCTACATTGTAAAGCAGTTACAAAATCTTTTGTATCCACTAAACCATCGTCTAAAATATAATTGTTCTCTTGCCTTGAGATCTAAAATCTTTTAACAACTTCTCTCAAACTTTTGAAATTATAATCCTGCAGTTGATTTTCCAAAGGGTAGAACTGCAAAAACAAAATATTTTAATGTATTATCAAAAACCCATGAAAAAAAATATTGTTGATGTTCTTCAAATATTTCGAATTGATGATATGCTGTTTTTAAATCCTATCTGAAAATCTAATCATTTTATTGAATAATCCTTAACCACTTTACAATCTTCATATTAAAATTTTTAAATAATTGTTGGTTTATGTGACTGCTGTCAGTTTACTCGTTTAATGCTACTATAAGTGGGTTGACTATTAAAAGTTTAGTGTTAATTTCTTTAGCACCAAATTCGTTATTTCTGATGAAACAAATGTTTATGCCCCACCTACGATAGTAGAGGGGCATTATGTTTTTAGGTCTGTGCGTCCTTTCATTCGTTCGTCCGTCCATCCGTCCTTTCGTCCGTCTGTCCCGCTTCAGGTTAAAGTTTTTGGTCAAGGTAGTTTTTGATGAAGTTGAAGTCCAATCAACTTAAAACTTAGTACACATGTTCCCTATGATATGATCTTTCTAATTTTAATGCCAAATTAGAGTTTTTACCCCAATTTCACGGTCCACTGAACATAGAAAGTGCGAGTGGGGCATCCGTATACTATGGACAAATTCTTGTTTGTTATCTAATTTCTGATGAAGATTTCTTATTTTTAATATGTCTATTTTTGAAAGGTATTTTATAACCATTTTGAGTACATCAAGCATGTATTGATTATCCCATATCAATTTACATTTAGCATCTAATTTGATCTTTAATCTACCTACAGGTGGCTCAGGTAAGTATACAACAGTTTCAGATGACAACTGTTCAGACGTCACATTCTTGTTTTTTTTTATTTGCTCTTAACTGAGACGAGGCAAACTATTGTTTTCAAGAAGATAATTTTCTGTCTTTGTGTCGGAAATTAACATATTGTTATTTAAGATTAAAACATTAGATGTACCTATCTTTGACATCTCATTTTCTGGACAGCTCTTGCTCCAATGACTCCTCTTTCCACAGGTACAACATCAACTAGGTTTGTAGCTTGTGTTTTTGTCCTCATAGCTTCTCTCTCTGTTGTATGGGACAGGTCTTGGACCATTTTTTGCCTTAACCTTCTCTCGGCTCTATTCATTCGCTTCTTATCCTCAGAATCTTCTGCAATTTGATTTGAAATGCATTCCCTCATCACACACATTCCCAACTCAGAAAAATCTGCTAATTTGATCAATTTTTGGTGCTCTTGAACTAAGACTATACCTTCTGAAATCTTTTTTTTAGTCGCAACCACTTTTGAAATGTTAACATCAGGAGTATCCTGCAATGTTGAAATTTCCTGCTGTGCTTGTTGAATATTGGCTTGTAAATGGTTCATTCTGAAATCCATCAAGATGTGCATATTGTTCAGTATGTTGTGTTGAGAAATGGCTATGGCATTTTAACTTCATTTGCAATAGAATTTTGAATTGGAAGATCCAGCTCAGTGTCCATCTTAAAACTGTGACTGAAGGGTAGAAACTATACATAAAAAAAATTGCATAATTACAGTGGACAATATGATTGTTTATTATCTACTTAATGTCCAAAGGCAAATATTTCATTCCCATTCAGGACCAATGAAAACTTTACAAGATGTCTTGTGATTGCTCAGACTCAGTACTCAACTTGCAGTACCACCCCTCAGTCATGATCTATTGACTATGAAACTTTTGCTTAGTTTACATGTATTAGTTTGCGATTAGGTCAGTTTATGGGGAACCACTAGTGGTAGGTCAATTATATTTAGTATTCAGTTGTATTAGCATTGGCACATCTCATTTCCATGGAGATTGTTTAGCCCTGTCCCCTCAGTTGTGGTCTATTGACTTTGAATATTTTGCTTAGTTTACATGTATAAGTTTGTGATTAGGTCAGTTATTGGAGAACCACTATTGTTAGGTCAACAATATTTGGTATGCATATGTATTAGCATTGGCACATCTCATTTCCATGGAGATTGTTTGGCCCAGTACCTTCAGTTATGGTTCATTGACTTTGAATATTTTGCATAACTTACATGTTAAAGTATTGCTATTTTGATTTCAACATTTGCATTTTACAATCAAAATAACAAAAAGGCGAGACATATCTCTGTGTTAACAATTTTTTTTTTTTATATTTACACATATGAATAAGATGGTGCAGAACACCTTCCTGGATTTTTGACAACATACAGTATGGTTCATGTCTGTCATATTTGTTTTTTGTTAATTAAATTTTTATAAACTAGGCCGTTAGTTTTCTAGTTTGATTTGTTTCACATTTTTCATGTCTGGGCCATTTATAGTTGACTAGGTTTATCTCATTGTTGAAGGCATTACTGTGACCATAATTGCTTACCTCCACATTATTTATATAGTTGTCTCATTTGCAATCATATACCATATCTCTTATTTTTATAGTATATATAGAACCATTAATACGGAAGGATTATGACCATGATGTAATTATTTGACATAAGAATTTATTAACATGCTTTCATTTTTTTCAGAGCTCGTTATGTATTTGAACCTGCACAAGAACATATATATGTATTAATGAAAAAAGATAGTTATCCAAGATATCTACGATCAGATCAGTTTAAAGACTTAATGGAAAAAGCCAAACAACAACCTCTTACAAAACGCAGGTGAGTGAGAAAACAGATGAGTAAGTAAATAAAAGTTTGTGTAGATTCAGCATATTGACAAACATTTGAACATAAGTTTTTGTGAGCTTTTCACTGAATATAAAAACATATACAGTAATAAATGAAATTAAGCATGCAGCATGCAAATAAATAGTTAGAAATAGTTAGAAAACAGCACAACTATAGCACTTTTGAAACACTTGAGACTTGAGAAAGTCTATAAAAAGGCAACAGTAGTATACCGCTGTTCAATAGTCATAAATCGATTAAGCAAAAACAAATCCGGGTTACAGACTAAAACCCAGGGAAACACATCAACTATTAGACAAAAAAGATGATAATTTATAAAAATTTGCAACTAAAATGCATACCTCTCCTGTCAAAACATGGAATGGCTAGATGCACTTCTATCAGATAAATGACATCATAAAAGTCCCTGTTATCTTGTGGTAGTTTTTACTGAAAAATTGGGTTTAGAAAGTTAAATTTACCAAATGTACAGTAAAAATGTTTAAATTATTACTTGATGGTAGATAACTTGAGTGACTATCCTTCAAAAACAACTTTTTCACTGAACTAGTATACATTATCGTTTAAGGGCCAGCTGAAGCCCGCCTCCGGGTGCAGGATTTTCTCTCTGTGTCGAAGACCCATTGGAGGCCTTGGGCTGTTTTTTGCTCTTTGATGGGGTTTCCATTCTCAATTTTCTTTAGAATTCATGTTATATAAATTTACCTTTGGAATAAAAAAGAGTAGTTTCTGAGTCATTATTGTCTCGACTGAAGCACATGTCTCAAAGGAGAGACATCTATTTTTATTCATAGGCTACATAATTTTCTAATTGTATGAAGCTTTTAATAGATATCTGAAGGTAAGAGAACTAGATTAACCAGGTTACATTTGGTGTAACCTTTCTGTCTGGCATATTTTAGTTTAATTGTCTATTTCCATGGTAAAAAGTCTTGATAAAATTGACACAACTTTTATGGTGATAATTTAGTCAGTTACTTTAAGCAATAGGTGAACTATATTTGGTTAAAGATTCATTGTAAAGTGTGTACTTTTAATACGACAGCAAAAAATTTGCGTTCGTATACTGTGGATTCATTTATTTTCGTGGGTACCAATTTTCGTGGATTAAGGAAAACTTACATGTTCGTGGATATTTAATTTCGTGGTTTTGCCGAAGTCTGCATATAAGCCTATAGAAAATTTGTTATTCGTTGAACATTTAATTTCGTGGTTCACCAGTACCCACGAACTCCACGAAATTTGGTATCCAACGAATAATAATGAATTCACAGTATTGCTATCATGTCGTCGTCTGAAGACATTTGGTTTCTGGACAATAACTTAAGTATAAATAAATGGATCTCTATCAAATTTAAGCACAATGTTCAATAGCACAAAAGTAAGGTTGGGATTGATTTTGGGGGTTATGGTCCCAACTGTTTTGGAATTAGGGGTCAAAAAGGGGCCTAAAAAGGCATTTTTGTAGTTTCCGGACAATAACTTGTGTAAAAGTGTATGGATCTCTATGAAACTGTACCACAAGATTCCATACCATAAAGGGAAGGTTGGGATTGACTTTGGGGGTTATGGCCCAAACCATTCAGGAATTAGGGGCAAAAAAAGGTAGGAAAAACAAGGTTTTTTCTGGTTAATGGACAATTATTTAAGGATTAGTTTATGGATCTCTATGAAATTGAAACACAAGGTTCCATACCACAAAGGGAAGGTTGGGTTTGACTTTGGGGGTTATGGCTTAAACCGCTAAGAAATAAGGGGCAAAAAGGGGGAGGGGGGGGGGGGGGGAGGAACAAGGTTTTTCTGGTTTCCGGACAAATTCTTAAGTATTAGTCAATGGATCTCTATGAAATTGTACCACAAGGTTCCATACCACACACAGAAGGTTGGGGTCGATTTTGTGGGTTGTGGCTTTAATCGTTAAGAAACTAGAGGCCAAATAGGGGCCAAAAACAAGGCTTTTTATACGACCACCAAAAATATTTTTTTTGCGGTCGTATATTGGTATCACGTCGTCAGTGTCGTCCGAAGACATTTGGTTTCCAGACAATAACTTTAGTTTAAGTGTATGGATCTCTATGAAATTTAATCAAAAGGTTCAATACCACAAAAGGAAGGTTGGGATTGTTTTTGGGGGTGATGGTCCCAACCGTTTAGGAATTAGGGGCCAAAACAAGCATTTTCTAGTTTCAGGACAATAACTTGTGTATAAGTATTTTGATTGCTCTGAAACTGTACCACAAGGTTCAATACCACAAGTAGAAGGTTGGGATTCATTTTGGGGGTAATTGCCTAAACCATTCAGGAATTAGGGGCCAAAAAGGGTCTAAAACAAGTATTTCTAGTTTTCAGACAATAACTTGTGTTTAAGTGTATGGATGTCTCTTAATTTGTACCACATTTTACAAAAAGAAAATTTCTTTAAAATTATTAATATTTTTTTTTTGGGGGGGGGGGATTTTTTTCCTCAAGAAAATTCTCTTCAAATATTATTTTTTTTGGAGGGGGGTAAAAAAAAATTTTTTTTGGGGGGGGGGGGTCAATACTGATATGGCAGGAGATACACACCAAACAGGGTGTGTAAATTATTATATTTAGCTTGTAAACAGATTTACTAAGTATTGTGCAACAGCAAAGTATTGCACAACAGCAAGAAATCTTCAATTGAAAATAAATACAAATCTATTAACCAATTTCAATGAGGATTAATGTATTACTATATTGGATATTTGGACATTTTTAAATAGGTCTACATTGAGGTCCAAAGGGTCCAAAATTAGACTTTGTTTGATTTCATCAAAAACTGAATTCTTGTGGTTCTATGATATGCTGAATCTAACTGTGAATTCAGATTTTTAATCTTGGGCCCTGTTTTCAAATTAGTCCATATTAAGGTCCAAAGGGTCCAAAATTAAACTTTGTTTGAATTCATGGTTTTTTTTTTATATGCTGAATCTAACCATGGAATTAGATTTTGGATATTGGACCATTAAGTAGATTAAATGTCCCATTTCAAATTTTAAAGTTATCTGACCACATTTATTCTGTGTCAGAAATCTATAATGTGTCAAATATTTAATCACTATCCAAATTCAGAGCTGTATCAAGCTTAAATATTGTGTCCATACTTGACCCAAATGTTCAGAGTTCGACCTCTGCAGTCGTATCCAGCTGCTCCAGGCAGACTATACTGACATACTGCTTAGTGGAAATTTAATTGAGAAACATTTAAATCATCCTCAAGAAAGAATTAGGTTTAAGGTGGTACCAAACACTTTGACTAAAATAAATTTGGCTCGTTTAATTTTCATAAAATTTTGACTAAACATTTGCTTTGACTCTTTGACAAAAATATAAAAATTTCAAAAAACTTGAACCACACAATTTATCGGAAAAATTTCATGGGATATATAGCAGTTTGAAAAAGACTAATTTTGATCATTGAGAAGCTTAACAATTTATCTGAATAACAATAGAACGTGATTAAAATGTTCAGCTGATTTTTACAGAGTTATCTCCCTATAGTGTTATGTACCACCCTAACCCTGGTTTTGGTTGGGTTCATGTTGCTCAGTCTTTAGTTTTCTGTGTTGTGTTTTGTATACTGTTGTTTATCTATTGGTCGTTTTTAGTTTTTTGCCATGGCTTTGTCAGTTTTTCATCGATTAATGAGTTTGAATTTCCCTTTGGTATCTTACACCTCTCTTTTCCTACGTTCTCAGATAAACTGCTTGAGCTAAATTTATGTATCTATAAAAAGTGTGCACCATATAATTTCACTTGTTTTCTGCATTTACAATTTTGGTAAGGTGGAAAATTTAAGTTGATTATAATGTTTATACGAGTGTCCACTCTAGAATTTCTGTCTTTATATGTCATATCTTTTGTGTTTGGGAGATCTGTACACCATGCATTTATTTTCTGTTTCATTATTTAAGATGACAATGATGGCATGATTTGCATGGATTTGTTTTATTCTATTCAATTTCTAATTTCTGTAGATTTTTCTTTGGAGGACCAAAGAAACGACCTTCAACACCAAGTCCAAAGATAAATCGTCGTCATGGTAGTTCTTCCAGTGATAGGGATGTGAGTTCAGACATCAGTGGAGAATCATCACCAGTCCATGTGGCACATCATTCGTTCAGCACAGGAAATCTACAGGATTTAGATTCACACAAATCCTCACGAACTAATTCAAGGTAATTATTGCAATCTGACCGGCACAAAATGAACACCAATAAATATTAATGTCTTATTGGGATTAGTTGATATATTGTTTGGTGTGGGGGGCTCAGTGACCGAATGGTTGGAGTACACAATCTACAGTGATCACTAGCCTGTCAACACTGAGATTGTGAGTTCAAACCCTGCAGTGACAAGATGTGCTTTGAACCCGATCCTAATTTACTATCATTGAAAAATAAAAAAATCATATTTGTTTTCCTATGTCCATCTGTCTTCAATCCATTTATTCCTTCCCCCTTTCTATCCACGAAGGATATATAGTTTCGCTAAGGTCTCTTTCAGTTTGATTTGTTAAGCTCTCTCTCTTTTTCAAACTACGATTATTATGCTTAAGTATGATGTTTGTAGATACACACAACATGAGCATATCATAAGGATTTTGATTTTGTTTGGCTGTTCACAAAATAATTATTAATTAATTTTGAACTTAATTAACCTTTAGTATTAATTTTGGGGTACTTGGTTTGTCCATTTGACTATTGAAGGATTGCTTGGGTCTTAAAGATGCAACAAATGTGTAACAATTCTCTCATTTTACACCCTGTCTTTCAGTAATGTACGGGGCATGCACAAGACTAATTTTCTCTAGTTGGCTCAACATTTGAAAGGACAAGTAAAAATAAGCATTTTTTAGATTCAGCTTTTTCAGCTTTTTCAGCTTTTTCTTCAATGAATGAACATGACCAGTGCTTAACATTCAGGTCACCTGAAGGCCCAAGGCTTGCATTTAAATCCATGGACCTGTAATTTGCCAAGGTCATGATGGAATAGTTCAAACCTATGTAAAAAGGCTCTTTTCTGCCTGCTTGCTTTCCTTGGAAATTTGGCATTGAACATGCCACAAACACTTTGGAAAATCTATTCACTTCAAATTGTGTTTCTTCTGTAACCTACAGTTTAGTGTAATGGTATTGTATTTTCTCTCTAACTGTATTTGCTATTTTGAGTGAAAGGTATTTAGCCAAAAAGAAATTTCTTTTCTCAGAAAATATCCCATAATATAAGAAATAAGTATGCTGTTTGCAAAATTGTATTTTAAGGTTCAGAATTTTTGTAATAATCGATCAAAACTTTATCTGGAGATTACAGTATATATACAGCACCTACATATTGTTGGAGCATATAGTAACTTCTAAGTATTGATTTTTGGTTGAAATGTCTTATATGGTCCCTGTCTCAGCCTTCACAAAAATTATTGTTCACTTACAAACCCAGAATAGACTTTTAACAGGTACTTAAATATTTTTATAAAGAACATTTTTACCGATCCAAAAAGTTTTTCACTGACCTTGGTTAATTGGCATGTGATTAATTGTTAAGACTGGTGCCTAGAAGAAGTTTTTTATATCTTATTTATTCAAAGTAATTCCATCACTCAAAACAGCAAATTTGAAATGCACTGTTTCTATTCTATAGGTAAAAATATATAATGGATCTACTAGTTTACCTGTGTCTTATGTTTCTGTCTTATTTATCTGCATAGGAATCATTAGAGACTTAGGTATGCTGTTTCCGTCAGCAGTCAGCATTGTCAACTATTTGTTAGTGTGTGATTAGGTCAGTTTAAAGGGAACCACTTATGATTAGTTAGCCCTGTCCCCTCAATCATGGTCTATTCACTTTGAAACTTTTACATAGTTTTCATGATAAAGTTTGTGATTAGGATGGTTTAAGAGGACCACTTATGATAAGTCAATGATATTTGGTATGCAGTTGTAAAAGCATTGGCACATCTCATTTCCATGAAGATTAGTTGGCCACACCCCCTCAGTCATGGTCTATTGACTTTGAAACTTTTGCTTATTTTACATGTATTAGTTTGTGATTAGGTCAGTTTATGGGGAACCATACATGGTAGGTCAATGATATTGGGTATACAGTTGTATTAGCATTGGCACATCTCATTTCCATGGAGATTATTTGGCCCTGCCCCTCAGTAATGGTCTATTGACTTTGAAACTTTTGCTTATTTTACATGTATTGGTTTGTGATTAGGTCAGTTAATGGGGAACCATTCGTGGTAGGTCAATGATATTTGGTATACAGTTGTATAAGCATTGGCATATCTCATTTCCATGGAGATTATTTGGCTCAGCCCCCTTAGTTATGGTCTATTGACTTTGAAAATTTTGCTTAGTTAACATGTATTAGTTTGTGATTAGGTCAGTTCAAGGGGAATCATTAGTGGTAGGCCAATGTTAATTGGTATTCAGTTGTATAAGCATTAGCACATCTCATTTCAATGGAGAATATTTGGCCCCATCCCCTCAGTCATGGCCTATTGACTTTGAAACTTTTGCTTAGTTTACATGTATTAGTTTGTGACAAGATCAGTTTAAGATGAACTGCTAATGTTAAGTCAATGATATTTGGTATGCAAATTTATTGGCATTTGTAAGTATCGTTTCCATGGAGATTATATAGCTCCACCCTCTCTTCATGGTTCATTGACTTTGAAACTTTTACATAGTTTACAAGTTAATGTTTGTGTTTAGGTTTGTTTAAAGGGAACAACTTATAATAAGTCAATGATATTTGGTATGCAGTTGTATTAGCATTGGCGCATCTCATTTACATGGAGATGGTTTAGCCATGTACGGTGTACCTCAGTCATGGTTCATTGACTTTGAATATTAGCCTAACTTGTTAAGTATTGCCATTTGAATTTCAACATTTGCATAATCAAAATTACAAATAAGCGAGACATATCTCTGTGATAACAGTTTATTTTAATATTAAATGTTAAACTTTCTACAAATGCTTAGAACATTCCATTTCCGGTAAGAATATTTGTCATTTGATATTTCTTTACTGAATGTGCATGATGTTAAGTAGTAGTCAATATTAAGAAGTCTGTTGTTATTTAGAAGTTAATCAAATTTTCTAATTTTTAAAAGACATTGTATAAATGATAAATGACATTTTGTCTTTTTTTTTGTCTTTTCTTTGGTAAATTGTTTGAACAATTTTGTGGTAGGTTTGTTTGTTATTCTGTATAAACTAATTGTCTGAGTGTGTGTTAATTTTAATTGATAAATGTAAAGGGGATGAATGAAGAAATGCAAAAACTAATCAACTCCAATGATTTTACATGGTTTTTAAATTCTGATCTTAGGCATGCCTTTGTGTTCAAAACATTATCATGGTTATTGTAAAATTATTTTTAAGATGATTCAGATTTCAGAATTTAATGTTACTGGTTAATAAAGAAAAGGATGTTTTTTTTATACAATACATTTCAAAGATGAATTTTGTTTTCTTATTTTAAAACAAACTATTTGTTGCGTTGCCGTCTCATTGATGTTTACATCTCCCTTTTAAGCTTTTACTCTTGTAATTCAATTACTTATTAGCATTTTAAAAAGGCAAATACTACACATTCTTATCTATCAAATAGACAACTTTTGAAAGGATCTGATTCTAGTTTAATGACAAGGTAAGAGTGACCCCCCTTGTCAAAATTCATTTGATGTTTCTCATTTTCAGAGCACTTTTTTCAATGCACAGTCTTTTCATATCATTTATAATATACACCTTACAAATTTTACTAGTTTTTTCTTAGACTGAAAACACCAATACAATGTTGTTATCCCTGCTTGCAGGGCAGCAAACAACATGCTGAAATAAATCCGTTGTCTAAACATTTCCGATTCCTTTCCATACATTTTTCAGTACAAAACCAATTTTTATGTTATCCATAAGATCATACATCTTCAATGTTGTTTTTATTTTTCTTTGAAAAGGTTTTATGTTGTGATGGAAAATTTATAGCATTTGTTGTGTAAGTTGTTATCAGCCTTTGTTTTTTTCGGTGAAAGCTTTTGTTTTGTTGCCATGTAACCAAGCCTGCCATCACATATATCTTTAGAGAGTAGTTTGCTTAATGTAATCTGATCTAATCAGAGAAATATAGCAGCATCTTTTCAGCAAAATGAAATTCTAATTATTTAAAGCAGACCACATATCATAATCATCCCAAAATCCCAAAAATCTTTCAGTACAATATTCTGCAGCAGCATGTTATAATTAGATTCTACCTCAATACCCCATTAATTATGATGTTAACCAACTGCAGTAAGTAAAAATTTCAAAATCTAATCCAGAGTGGATTACTATCAGAGTTAATGGGGTAATTTGATAAAATCTGTTTATTCATGATTGTATGAAAATTTTGCAGGTATAATATTTGGAATAGATTTGCCAAAAATATCACACACAACAATTTAATCAACGTGTTGTTATAAAAAATTTATTCGACTTGTTAGTCTGGTTTGAATTACTCAAGAATTAAAGAAATCTTTTTTCTGGAAAAATTAGCATTGGTAGTGTTATGCATAAGATAAATACAGTTATTTATTGTGTCACCCTAAATATTTTATAATAAATCCAGGAGTTAAAAAAACGGGATTCCATTTTATAGGGCATAAATTGGTATTTATCTTTGTCAAAGTACTAAGTATATTCCTTAGAATAACCATCTGATTTTTGTCTCGCCTTGCCTGAGTAAAAAAGCGAGACTTAGATATGATGTTTAGGTGGCGGCGGCAAGAATGTATTAGTTTGTGATTAAGTCAGTATAAAAGGAACCACCAGTGGTAGGTCAATGATATTTGGTATGCAGTTGTATTAGCATTGTCACATCTCATTTCCATGGAGATTATTTGGAACCACCCCCTCAGTCATGGTCTATTGACTTTGAAACTTTTGCTTACTTAACATGTATTAGTTTGTGAGAGGTCAGTTTAAGGGGAACCACTAGTGGAAGGTCAGTGATATTTGGGATGCATAAGTGTTGGCACATCTCATTTTCATGGAGATCATTTGGCTCCGCTCCCTAAGTCATGGTCTTTTGGCATACTTTACATGTTAAGTTTGTTATTAGATCAGGAACCACTGATGTTAAGCCAATGATAGTATTAGCATTTGCAAGTCTTCTTTTCAAAGGAGATTATTTGTCCTCACCCAAGGTTCATTGACTTTGAAACTTTTACATTGTTTACAAGTTTAAGTTTGTGTTTAGGTTAGTGTTTAGGGAACCACTTATGATAAGTTAATGGTTTTGGTATGCAGTTTTATAAGCATTGCCATTTCTCATTTCTATAGAAATTATTTGGTCCTGCACCTTAAATCATGGTATATTGACTTTGAATGTTTTGCATAGTTTATATGTTAGATATTACCATTTGGATTTAATATTTGCATTATACTATCAAAATTTTTTAAAAAGGCAAGACATATCTATGTGTCAACAGTTCATTCACAAAGATGATCACATAAGACTTATAGATTTATGAAACATAGGTCTTACTGACTTACATAGGTCTACATAAGGTTGTCTATAAACTCTTGTCAGATTTAGTATTTGAACACAATTCTACTGATAACAAAACCCTGACCAATGATGGTATTTCTCCTTTAAAGAAGGTGGAGTAAAGAAAAAACAAGTAATTTTAATTGAATTCAGTCCTACAAGCTAAGTGCTAGGCAAGGTAGAATTTTCAATTAATTATGATTATCAAGAGAGGCGAAAGACATTCAAACTCATACGTCTAAAATAAACTGACAACGCCATGGCTAAAAAAAGAAAAGACCAACAGACAAACAACAGTCCACAAAACACAACATAGAAAACTAGAAAGACTGAGCAACACGAACCCCACCAAAAACAGGGGGTAATCTCAGGTGCTCCGGAAGGGTAAGCAGATCCTGCTCCACGTGTGGCTCCAGTCGTGTTGTTCATGTAAAGTCTAATTTGGTAGCTCACATTTGGGGAAAAGGGGACAGGATTGTACCACAATTGGAACATATCCATCATCATGTTCAACTTATTTTATTTCAATGTCAGTTTTGTTGTTTAAAGATTTCTTCTAGAGTCACTGTGGACAAAAGCCATGGAAGTAGTTCATTCCAAACCAGAATAATTTGGTATATATATCCATTTATATTACTGCAACTGGTTAGAACTAACATGATAGTTAATACATAAAGCATTAACACATTCTTAAGATTTCAGTGATTGGGAATTTACAAATTTAAATGCATGTTGTGGTGGACATTAATAAATTAATATTAGTATATCTGTTTATACTAAAGACTTCCTCATTTTATCATCTTTTTATACAAATGATCAATTCTATCTAAGCTGTTACAAGAGCCTTTAAACTACTGATAGCTGTTCAATTTGGAATTACTCAGTTTGAACATAAGATGACTTTAAGGTAGTAGCTTGAATCAGTCTGTTTTATCAGGATATCTTTTCTAATTCAACAGCTAAAAAATATTTTTGAACAGCTTCAATAACACTTGAATGAAATGAGTTGTTTTTGGTTTGATATAAGGTAATACATAACTTTTTTTTTATATAAATGTGAAATGTTTTCCATTTTATCAACAACTGTTGTCAAAATTGCATTGGAATGGTTACGAAAAAATTCAAATTTATGAGGTATCACACCATTTATATCAAAATGTTTTGATAATGACAAATCAAAGCAGAAACCATTCATCTGTGAACAATTAATCATCTCTATTTAGATTGTTACGAAAGCTTTTTATTTTTGGAATGGAAATTGCACAAATGAAACAGTTCCAGTCAGGTAGCTATACTTCAACCTTTAATTCAAACTGAGTGACTTGATTTTAACAACTGTCAGTGTATAAAAAGCTCTTACAGCAATTTAAATAGATTTGACAACTTGCAAGAAAATTTGTCAACAGGCTTCTGATGTAATTAACAATAAGCCCTGAAGCCCTGGTGTGTATTGAAGGACTAGAATTCCAGTTGACTTGTAGTAGCTTTTGCTTCATTACAAATTTTACCTTGTTTTGCAGAATTAAAAGAATTAGAAAGATAAAAGATTGAAAAGCTTAATAGAAGGAAATTAAAAGAAGAAAAAAATACCTTTTTATGTTAAAGTGAAAATATTTCTATAAAATGTAGTAAAGCTAAAAGAAATTCTCAAATGAAACTTGTGGATTGTGAGTAGTTTAAATGAAAATCAGACCTGTTAGAAGGCTTTATCTTAGATAAATACAAAAGTACAATAAAGGTGAAAAACGATGGAAGCATCAGCAATTAGTATATACTGCATGGAAGATGTATGATTAGTATCAGGTCTTTTATTCATTTTTGTTTTGCCTGCAATGTAATTCATAGGGATGCTAATCTGGCAGTATAAACTAATGTATATAGTTTTATATTTCAGAAGGTAGAAGATCTGGATACTTCAATCTTGTATACTGATACAGGGGATACCTTATGTCCTGAAGTTTCCTTGTAGAATATTTAATTTGTCAATGACCATGATTTCATGGTTCAAACCACTACTCTTTTTATTACCTGATTTTCTCACTTTTTTTTAACAATAGAACAACTATATTTGGTATATAGTATCATTGCAAGGTATGCATATCTATCAGACAGGGTTCATCTGACCATGACCTTATTTCATACATAAGTGATCAATGCAAAGTTTTATGGTTAGGTCCTATTCTCGGATACTATAAGCAATAGATCATCAGTATTTTATGTATGGAATGATTGTATGGTGAACATGTCCATCTGGTATGGTTCATCTGACCTTGACTTCATCATTTTTAGCTCACCTGACCTGAAAGGTCAAGTGAGCTTTTCTCATCACTTTGCGTCCGTCGTCCGTCGTCCTGCGTCCGTCGTCCGTAAACTTTTACAAAAATCTTCTCCTCTGAAACTACTGGGCCAAATTTAACCAAACTTGGCCACAATCATCATTGGGGTATCTAGTTTTAAAAATGTGTGGCGTGACCCTGTCAACCAACCAAGATGGCCGCCACGGCTAAAAATAGAACATAGGGGTAAAATGCAGTTTTTAGCTTATAACTCAAAAACCAAAGCATTAAGAGCAAATCTGACATGGGGTAAAATTGTTCATCAGGTCAAGATCTATCTGCCCTGAAATTTTCAGATGAATTGGACAACCCGTTATTGGGTTGCTGCCCCTGAATTGGTAATTTTAAGGAAATTTTGCTGTTTTTGGTTATTATCTTGAATATTATTATAGATAGAGATAAACTGTAAACAGCAATAATGTTCAGCAAAGTAAGATTTACAAATAAGTCAATATAACCGAAATGGTCAGTTGACCCCTTTAGGAGAAATTGCCCTTTATAGTCAATTTTTAACCATTTTTCGTAAATCTTAGTAATCTTTTACAAAAATCTTCTCCTCTGAAACAACTGGGCCAAATTAAACCAAACTTGGCCACAATCATCATTGGGGTATCTAGTTTAAAAAATGTGTGGCGTGACCCGGCCAACCAACCAAGATGGCCGCCACGGCTAAAAATAGAACATAGGGGTAAAATTCAGTTTTTGGCTTTTAACTCAAAAACCAAAGCATTTAAAGCAAATCTGACATGAAGTAAAATTGTTTATCAGGTCAAGATCTATCTGCCCTGAAATTTTCAGATGAATCGGACAACCCGTTGTTGGGTTGCTGCCCCTGAATTGGTAATTTTAAGGTAATTTTGCTGTTTTTGGTTATTATCTTGAATATTATTATAGATAGAGATAAACTGTAAAAAACGATAAATGTCGGCAAAGTAAGATCTACAAATAAGTCAACATGACCGAAATTGTCAGTTGACCCCTTTAGGAGTTATTGCCCTTTATAGTCAATTTTAACCATTTTTTCGTAAATCTTAGTAATCTTTTACAAAAATCTTCTCCTCTGAAACTACTGGGCCAAGTTAATTATAGATAGAGATAATTGTAAGCAGGAAAAATGTTCAGTAAATTAAGATGTACAAACACATCACCATCACCAAAACACAATTTTGTCATGAATCCATCTGCGTCCTTTGTTTAATATTCACATAGACCAAGGTGAGCGACACAGGCTCTTTAGAGCCTCTAGTTATAGTTCATTAGTGAATGCCTTTTGTGGATAGGTTTGTTTCTCTGCTACTTTATGCTATAGGTCAACTATATTTGGTGAATGGATTGATTGTAAGATGTTTATTTCCATCTGACTGGGTTCATCTGACTTTGACCTCATTTGATGATTAATTGGTCAATATTTAGTTTTTCGTATTAAGGTCAATTTTTCAATATTATAAGCAATATGTCAAATATACTTTGCGTATGGAATGATTGTATGGTGAACATGTAGGATGTAGTTTTGCAGGGATCATCTGACCTTGATCTCATTTTCATGGATCAATGATAATGTTTAGTCTATGTGATACCTTTTAGTAAAATCTGGATCTTAAAGACTTTCAACATAAATTTAATCATGATCAGTAAAGGTGGCTAAACATATCAGTGTTTTACTCTTGTTAAAATATTCATTTATTGATAAATAAGCTCTGCTTGATATTGTTCTAAATTTTTTGTAAAACATATCTTCAATATATCTATATTTATGTATCCATATATATATCCATCAATATAATTCAGATATCTGTAAAAGTGGGGATTTTAATGTTTATGAAAAAAGAAACCATAGGAGGAGTTCTCACATCAGGGACATCACAGTATTTTCACTACAAAATATAAAATTTCCATCTTTGAAAAATTTCAGAGAAAAGGACAAACCGAAACCACAAATTGTTCACTTGGAAACAAGGTAAAATTTGTAACTGCTGCTTCCCTTTGTTGCATGACTCTGCATCATATATAATTCTATGTTATGATGTATAGAGAAACTACAGTAGAAGCATGAACACAGAATATTATATTGGAACAAGTATTTAATATCATCAGAGTCTTTAGTCTTCTGTATAAACAATCAACATGATGGTAAAAGTTAGATATAAAATGAAAGTAAACTTTAGATGTAAATGATTTAAATGTCTTCTTGCATCTGTTCATATCTTACAACAAGAACTCTATATTCAGTGTAAGAAAGGTTTCATGGTAACTGTTAAGCCATCTGTTATACTATTAACATTATTGGCATTTAAGACGTCCTTAGAACTGAGTGTAGGTTTTGGTTAACGATCCTTAATTCAATTCATTTCGTCTCACCTGTGGCGAGTGACATAGAAGGTAAGATATTGGGATGCAAATCCTGCAGAGACAATATAGCTATTTGTATAACCCTATATGTCTGTCCAATAGGGTTCATCTGACCATGCCCTTATTGTCATGGTTCAGTGATCAGTAATAATTTTTTGTGATAAATTCAAGTGTCAGATACTATAAGCAATAGGTCAACTATTTTTGGTTTTTTAAATGATTGAAAGTGTACATGTATGTCTGGCAGTGTTCATCTGAACTTAATCTCATTAATTTGAGTCAATTTCATTATGCATTGGTCAATGTTTAGTTTTCTGGATTAGGTCTGTTTCTCAGATTCTGCAGAAGTAGGTCAACTATATTCGATAGAAATGATGATTGTAAGTTGTAGATGTCTGTCTAGCAGGGCTCATCTGACCTTGACATCATTTTCATGGTTCTTTGGGCAATATGTAGTTTTTGTGATTACCTCTGTTTCTCAGATACTATAAGTAATAGTTGAACTATCTTCTTATTTCAATAAGTTATGTCAATTGAATGATTGTATAAAGGTGTACATGTTGAGGTACATGCCTAGTATCTGACAGGAATTATCTGACCTCAACATTATTTTAATGGATTATTTATATGTAAAGACCTTAATCTTTGATATAAAATTCAGTCATATTTGGCTAAGCAGGCAAGGCATCCCAGTGTATACATTCTTGTTTGTGAATTATTTAAACAAGGAGAAAATTTACTTTTCATTAATGTTGAAATACAGTAAAATTAACAGAAATAACACTTTATGACAAGCAATAGAGTATTAACTTCATATTAGTGCTAGGCATTCCTTTCATTTGTAGAGAGGTTTCAATTAAATTTGCTTTGTTTACTTCCTGTTTCATTTTCTTATCAGAATGATTTTGGTGGAGAGATTATGATTGTGTATTGAATACAATATTTTGCTTATATTTAAGGTACATTTTTGTATATAGAAAAGGCATACTAATGATATATACTTAACCTTACATATATAATTTTGTATAATTTTATATTGATTGATCTGTTATTTATATCCTAATATCTGTATCTGTATTCACTTTTATATCACTTCAAAGCCAAAATGTGCTTATCATTGCATATACTTTGATTTCAAGAAAGAATCAAATTAAATGAAGCCCTAATTATTGATATTTAACAATAGTCCAAAGTCTTATATTTTTATTTATCTCTGTATATGTTGAAGGTTTTTATTTTTAGATCTTAAAAGATTCACATCATGTTTATGTAGGTTTATTGATGGTTTTTTTGTTTGTTTAACAAACATTTCATTAATATTCAGTTATAATAAAAGCTCATTATATATTCTTAAATGAGTTTTTAATGATTTCAGCATGTCTGGAAAATGAGAAAAAAGCAATGTTTGACATTTAAATACTTAATGAAAAAGAATAGAGAAGAGGTTACATGTAGGACTTTTATACTTTTTATTCTTTCAATTAGTTATGCTATTATTACTTTATTTGGAAACCTGTAATCATCAATTATAAGTTAAATTTAATTATTTATTTATCATTATTTTTAGCGGTCTTTCACCAGGATCTGTACGGCGACGATCAGAGGAACCAACTAGAATGAGTGTAAATAGTGGAATCAATCGTCGGAAGAGCAATCTGGAAGTCCCTAAACACTATGGAGTTAATGTAGATAAACGGAAAATGGAGGTTACACAAACTAAAAGTTTAAATGTACCAAAGACAAACAGTGTTGCACCATGGGAAGGGTCACAATAATTTTATAGTTCTTTAGAATAGAAAACAATTAACTGTGGAGTTTTTAATTTCAATTGCTTTATTCTCTCTAGTCAGACAGAAAGTGAATAGCAAAATACTAGTCCAGATTTTTTCAGATTATTTAAGCATAGTTTAGATTATTATAAAAACCTGTTATGTTTCAATATCTGGGTATATATTAAAGACAAAGAGGAGTTTATTTACCATTTTAGTTTGAGGTTTTTCAGAGATTTTTTTTTCAGGTAAGACAATATAGATATAAAAATAGTTAAAATTATTTTTACTTTTATTTGATCATATTGTCAAGACGATAGCAAATTGAATATGATACTGGCTGATAATTCAGGTCATTCAGTACATGTCAACGAAATGCATGAACAAATTATTGGAATTGTGGGTAATATAAAATAAAAAATAATTTGGTCTAACAAATTTCCATCAAGGATTTTTCTTTATCGATGTTTAAAGTTTAAAAGCACAATTTTACAGTCCTTTTCAGATCCACAACTCTTTAGGGAAATTGACATTGTTAGTTGAGTTTTTATCCTGTTTCTAGATACTTGAGGTAGAAAGTTAGAAACAAATCTGTATGTGTTTATGTAGCTCCTTGTTGGCACAATAGACCTCACTACTTAATCAAATCTGAATAGAATAATTCCCATGAGAAGATTACATAGTCAAATATTTCTATATATCACTTCTCTGATTTTGCTATGCATTTAAACAAATTTTAAAACCCACAATCTAGATCTATTTAGCTGTAACCAACTTGTATTTCGTATCATTTAAAAACCATTATTTCAGTGTAAGGATCTTTCAAACCATATGAAAATTACAGATGACCTTTATATTAGGCTGAAGTTTTCATTAAAGTCTGCAAGTAATTGTGGGGACCAACACAAAATACATCTGTCACCATTGTTTTCATTTTGCCAGAAAAAGATTTTATAATGCAAGGAAATCTGATGCAAAGTAATGAGAAAAGTTATCCTGATCTTTTGGCTCAGATGAGCGGAAAATTATACTAGATATCCTTGCTGACCAACTGACATGGCTTTTTGTACATAAAATTGAACATAAGGGTGAGGTTTTTTTTTAAATTCTGAAAATCCTATATAAGGCCAATAGAGCTACCAAACTTTAAGTAAATGATACATTTTCTATCAAAAAGGCCAAAATGCTCTTATGTTCTTTTGGAAATTGTGAAAATGAATATTCAATATTTTAATATACATGTATATGACTGAGATGAAAATTACCAAAGAAACTTTATAATGACAAGTCTTTAGTATGCCTCATCAAAGTATATGTATATAGAATAACATAAACCTTCTTATTGCTGTCAATAAATAATATTAATGTATAAATAACCGTTCCATGACAAGTATTACACGAAAAGTGCTCACTTCTATCCTATTTGTGACTATAAATTAACCTATCTTTTTTTAAATAAAATTTCTGATATCATAACAGAACATTATTTTTGTAAGGATGTTTTGACTGTTGTAAAAAAGCCCACATTATTATTTTTGAAAATGTCATTGATTATCAGAAATAGTACACATTGGAGGGCCCTACATATGTATTTTTGGGGAAGTTGGGAATTCCCATATGAATTTTATGCAATTGCAGTTCTTAATTAAAATGATTTTCCACATAATGACAATGCAGAAATCCTGCTCAATATCTATTTAAAATTGATATGAATTAGTGCTCTTGAAATTTGATATTTTTTGGTAAAAAAAGGAAGATTTTTTTCCCAAAAATATGAAGTATGTGCCATATTTGACAACTGTGTGTGTTTTATTTTTACAAGAAAAAAATCAAAATAACCTACAACATTTTTTTTCTTGTCCAAAATTTCTTCAAAATCTTAAAAATAATTCGTACATATGAATATTACAGAAATTTTGGCATATGGGTTAATGTTATGAAATTCTTAAGGATTTCTAGATTGTTAATATCTCAATTGTTTCAAGGAAATCTTATTGATTTTTGCACTTGTATGTAAATTTACTATTAAGACTGTACAGTAGTGTCACAAGTTTAAAGATAAAACCATTTATATTTTAATTTTTATGCTCATTTACCTCTTATATAGATATTCAAGTATTTTATTATTGTATATGTTACTCACATGAAAACTGACACCGTCTTGTAGCACAGGCACAGAACATGTAGTTGGTCACTAAATGTTTTTCTCCAAATAACAAAATTTTATCAAGCTCACATAGGTCACATTTAAGATTTTGAAATTACAAAGGTTTTTTTATTATACCAGATTCTTACAATACTTCTGATACAAGCTAATTCAGTGATATAATATTTCTTATTCACAAACTATTTCTCTTATCAGTCAAATTTTTGCAGCTTATAGTGCTCGTAGAATTTTTTTAACAAATTCTGTAAACAAGAAAGACCACTCTGTATGTGTCTGTTTAGTAACTAATTAACGCAGTAATATCACATTAACATAATTACCTTTTAAGCCTAGATACAATTTACTGACCAACCTGACAATATAAATTAGGGAAAAGCATTTGAAAAATCCAAAATTTCAATTTGTTGTCGAAAGTTCTGAAAATTCTGTACTGTCATTTATTTTTAAGCTATTATTAAAGAGATGTTTAGACTTCATTACTTATTTGTGACCAAAGTTCTGAATTATTCCACAGTGCACAAAGTAGGACAAGGGACTTTTTATTAAACTATTGTGATACATACTATAAGCCATAAAATGTTGATCAATTTATACAAGTTTATTTTCATTTGTTATGTTAGAATTGAAATGTTTTTTTATGTTTTGATAGAATTTATTGTTGATTTTTTGTTTTTGGTATGTCAGAAAACATTGTGTGGATGGTATAATTATTGTTGAAAATGGTCAACTGTAACAGATGATCCAAATAAGTATGTTTATTATTGGGCCATCTATTGTGAAGACAGAATGTCATTACTATTTTTCCTCATATTGTCACCAAATGATAACATATTTCAATGCCACATTTTTAAAACCAACCGATTGTGTAAATGTCGCTAAAATAAGGTTCATTTGCAAGGTGACCTAGTTAGGCGTTTATTAGCCTCCAGACTTAATCTGAATACTGATTGTTCACTCAACACCAAACCTTTTATGTAAACATCCTCAGTAATAAACATAAAAAATTGTTCACATTTAATTAAACCATTATGGTTCTGTGATGGTTTAAAATTTGATTTTCTTTGGAACTACAATTTCTTAAATGCATGCCCTTTTTAGCTCACTGTTCTGAAGGAAGTGTGAGCTTTAGCCATCACTTGGCGTCCGTCGTTGTCATCCGTCGTCGTCGTCCGTCTGGTGTAAACTATTTCAAACATCTTCTCCTCTGAAACTACTGAACCAAATCCAACCAAACTTAAGCTGAATGATCCTTAGGGTATCTAGAATAAAGTTTGTGTTTTATTTTCTGTTTTGTCAAAAAACATGGCTGCCATGGCTTAAAATAGAACATAGGGGTAAAATGCAGTTTTTGGCTTATATCTAAAAAACCAAAGGAGTTAGAACAAATCTGACAAGGGGTAAAAGTGTTCATTAGGTGAAGTTCTATCAGCCCTGAAATTTTCAAATGAATCTAATAACCCATTGTTGGGTCGCTGCCTCTAAATTGGTAATTTTAAGAAAATTTTGCAGTCTTTGGTTATTATCTTGAATAGTATTAATGATAAAGATAAACTGTAAACAGCAAATATGTTCAGCAAAGTAAGATCTACAAATAAGTTTTATATGACCAAAATTGTCAATTGACCCCTTAAGGAGTATTGCCCTTTGAGGACAATTTTACACAATTTGTATATCATGTTTTCTAACTTTAAAAAAATCTTCTCCTCTGAGACTACTGAACCAATTCCAACCAAACTTAAGCTGTATGATCCTTAGGGTATCTAGAATAAAGGTTGTGTTTTATTTTCTGTTTTGTCAAAAAACATGGCCGCCATGGCTAAAATTAGAACATAGGGGTAAAATGCAGTTTTTTGGCTAATATATCTCAAACACTTAAGCAATTAGAGCAAATCTGATGAGAGCTTAAAATGTTCATTAGGCCAAGTTCTATCAGCCCTGAAATTTTCAGACAAATCTAACAGTCCATTGTTGGGTTGCTGCCATTAAATTGGTAATTTTAAGGAATTTTGCAGTTTTTGGTTTTAACTTGAATATTATTAATGATAAAGATAAACTGTGAAAAGCAAAAATGTTCAGCAAAGTATGATCTACAAATAAGTTAATATGACCAAAATTGTGAAATGTGTCCTTAAGGAGTTATTGCCCTTTAAAGACAATTTTTCACAATTTGTTCATCTAGTTTGCTTACTTTAAAAAATCTTCTCCTTTAAAACTGCTGAATCAATTTCAGCCTTACTTGGGCTGAATGAGTTTCAGAGTATCTAGTATAAATTTTGTATTTTATTTTCTTTTTCGTCAAGAAACATAGCCACTATGGCTAAAATGGAACATAAGGGTAAAATGTATTTCTATGCTTTTGAAGAAAATATGACAGATACAAAGAACATCTCAATGGAATTTTTAAGCCACTCATTAATATATATTAAAAAACAAAAATAATCATTGATGAAAGATTTAAGCAAAAAATTACAGGTGAGCGATTCAGGCTCTTGAGAGCCTCTTGTTTTTTTTAACTTTTTATAAAATATATTTTACACTACATCATTATTATATAATGTTTTTAATTTTTTGATAAGGTCATTTAAATTTAACATGAATTGATAAATTGACATTGAAATATTAAAATTCAGCGACTAGATGTATTACCAAGCATAATTATTACTGTTTGAATTATATAAAGTACTATACACTATTCCATTGTTATATAATTCAAGATAATTAATGTATGAATGTGTTGGTACGTGCTTGTTATATCTGATTAATATTTTTTTAATTTTGTACAAAGTAAATCCCATTGAGTTATATGCTAATATTTTTAGAAATGATTTTAATTTTAGAAAGTTTGCCTATGGAAATGTTTTATATTTTTACCCAGATTTGATTTTGTATAAAATATGTTATATTAAACTGATATTCTGAAACACATCAATTGTTATGAACTAATTTAGAATGAATAAAACATTTAAAAAATCACAAAATATGATTGTTTGTTTTTCTATCAGAAGAACTAATTTGGGCCAAAAGCCCCTAAATTTATGTATATATATACCAAAAACCTGAATATGCATGAAATATTTGCCACATGATATTTAGCCAACAATAATCAATCCAAGCAATAGCGGAGTACTCAGTTTTGAGGTATAAATTCATTGCGTCTTTGTCAAATTTTCTATCAACTATAACTTTTTTGTTGGCATCTTTGTTAGATTTATTTGTGTTTGTTTGAAAATATGGAGTCAGTTATGATGTGTGTTTACCCTGGTTTGGCTGCTTGATCCCAATTATTGTCATATTAACCATATTATGTCTGTTAGGGTTACTCATCCAATTTTGTCAATATAGCAACTATAAACAACTAGGTTTAGCTACCATTTTCTTAGGAAAATCCATGAACCAAATCAGGTATATGACAGATGTTTTTCTTTCGTTGGTTGACAATGTTTGATTTTGTCAGTTTTTAGGGACTTTCCATTTTTGCATTTACCTTCCTTCCAGTTCGGTATTTTTGTTATACTTTTCTTTCAAACTAAAAAACTTAAACATCAGAAGATATATTGGCCATATTGACTACTTTGCAATGTATCTTTTACTCACAAAGCACTCAATTAATTTTTATATGACCGACAAAATTTTGCCGTCGTATATTGGTATCACGTTGTCGTCTTCGTCCAAAGACATTTGGTTTCCGGACAATAACTTTAGTATTAGTAAATAGTAATCTATTATAACCACAAAAGGAAGGTTGGGATTGATTTTGGGGGTTATGGTTCCAACAGATTAGAAATTAGGGGCCAAAAAGGGGCCCAAATAAGTATTTTTCTAGTTTCATAACAATAACTTGTGGAACAGTGTATGGATCTCTCTGAAATTATACCACAAGTTTCCATACCACAAAGGGATGGTTAGGATTGGCGTTGGGGGGTTATGGCTCAAACTGTTTAGGAATTAGGGGCAAAAAAGTGAGAAAAAACAAGAGTGTCCTGGTTAATGGACAATTACTTAAGTACAAATTACAGTGTAAGGGAGGTAATTCAAACACAACTTTGAATTACCTCCCTTACACTGCTTTTAAATTATGTATGAAGAATTTTTGTAATGTCTTGAGGTGATTAGCTGTCAATTCATTTTTAAAAGTTACTATTTTAATAATTTTAAAAATGCTGATTAAGGTAAATTAATTTTAGCTATGATTATGTATGTCATTTTCTATATTAAGACTTATGATGTATTTAAATGGGTTATTATGGCTGCAAACTCCATTGGAAATTTGAATTGAAATTATGACCATGACTGAGGGAAAGAATTTTTTTTTGGAAAAAGGAACGGGGAAGGTTAAAAAAAAATTGGGGGGATGGTAAAAAAAAATTGTTGGGGGGGGAGGGGGGGGACAATTTTTTCTCCTCAAGATTTCATAAACCAAAAAGAAAATCCTTCAATTTTTTTTTTTAAAGGGGGGGTGGGGGAGGTCAATTTGCAACAGCATAGTGTATTGCACAAAAGCAAAAAATTGAATATAAATTCAAATCATATAACCAATTCTAAGTTCTTTGACTACAGTTATTCTGTGTCAGAAACCTATTATGTGTCAAATATTGAATTACAATCCAAATTCAGTCCTGTATCAAGCGCGAATATTGTGTCTATTTTTGCCCCAACTGTTCAGGGTTGGACCTCTGCGGTCGTATCTAGCTGCGCCCGGCGAAGCAATTTATTACTTATGTAAACAGATATTAAAAAATGTACTGTGCGATAGTGAAATAAAATTTCTATACCCTGTATTATGTCTACTGTTGTGAGTATTTACTGCTAGTCATCCATTAGCCAGTCTGTCTGTTAGTCTGTCAATTCATCTGCCTTCCCATATTATGTTATAGTTTTTGTTCATATCAACTTAAAACTTTGTATCAATTTTCAAAAAACTTTTAAAATTATATATAAAATTTGGTTTTAACCAAGGTTACAGGTTCATTGGACATGAAAATGTGATAGTCCAAGGGGGGCATGTTATCATATTGACAAATTTTATAAGCTCATTTGATGCAAAGGGTCATTGTGAGATATTGCCATTACTTGGCTTCTGTCATCCTTTTACTTATACAAAAACCTTTTTACCTAAAACTAATAAGTCAATTGGAACAACGCTTTGCCACAATCATCCTTCAAGCATCTAGCTAAAGAAATATGTATGATGATCCTTTCTGCCAACCAACATGGCAATAGAAATAAAACAGGGATAAAAACAAAAACTATGTATTGTCTATTATCTAAAAAAAAGTTTAAAAGATTGAAAACCTGACAGGAAAAATATGTTCAGAAAGATGTACCTACTGTCCATTTTGTCAAAGATTGTCTGACAAACCCTCTCAGGGAGTTGTTGCCCTTGAATTGAGATACAACTAATTTTTAGATCACCTGAACCAAAGGTCAGTGTGAACTATTGCATACACTTGTGTCGCCTGTCATCCTTCAACTTTAACAAAAATCATCTCTAACACTACTTTGTCAATTGGATCAAAACTTTGCCAGAATCATCCATAGAGTATTTACTTAAAGAAAAGTGTCCGATGATTACGCCTGCCAACAAACATGGCTTAAGACAGAACTGGTAAAATGCAAGTGTTGTCTATTACCTTAACGATAATGCATAGTCTGAAATGTCTCGCCTGTTTTACTGGTCATATTTGAATTTATCTTGAAAGTCTTAGAGAAAAAAATTAATACAACAAGTATTACATAAAATTACAGATATAAATGATCAATGTAAATGAAGTACATGTACGCTTTACAATCATTCCATACATTAAATACAGTTATCATCATAGATATCAGAATTAGAATTTTGTACGTCAGACGCGCGTTTTGCATACAAAAGACTAATCAGTGACGACCGAATCAAAAGTTCAAAAGGCTAAATAAAGTACACACAATTCCGAAAGCTTTTGCCAAATACTAGTACATCTAAGATAATCTATTCCTGGGCTAGAAAATACTTAGTCTTCTTTCCACTAAATACATTTAAACTCAACTATTTAAAGAAAAACACAACACAAACTTATGTTTGTTGACTCGCTCGTGTACTGCATAGAGCAACAAAGATAGAAAAATATGAAGCTAGATAAACTACAAGCCCAAAGTCTTTGATACGGCTAACCTACTTTCTACGGAGTCGGCTACATAGCCGTCTTTGCTTGAGTCGCTCTTCCATCTGCCATGGCGCTTCCAGCACCTTTCTTTGACACCTGAATTTGCCGCCATAGTGGCACCACCAGACCTAAGCGAATGCAACCCAAATTTAATTCAGGTGCAACTAGTTTTAATCTCTTAATAACGCACTCCCTAGCAGTAGTGTAACTAATAGGTTTGTTAATACTAATTAAAGCACATTTTTTCTTGCTTCTGTATAATGGTCGAAATAAAAACATATCACTATCCAAAGCTAATTCGGCTAAACTAACATATCTAAAAAACATAGCATAAGGACAGGCCAAAGTATGCCCTTTGCAAATTAGAATCTCGTCACCTGATCTGTATTGATCAGTCTTACTTCTCCTAATTTTAATAACTAAATGATCATCTTTTACAATAATATCGTTACATCTTAGCTGACTTAACTCGTTAAAACGTAAAAACCACTGAAACCTAGCAAAGTCATCAAAAGATCCCTAACCACCAGTAAATCTGTAGAAAATTGAACATAACCGAATTAAGATATCAGTAGTGACTGGATCTTTCTTATTTACAACAGGTTTAGCAATTATTTTAGCTGATTCAACTAAATTTTCAACAAAGGAATTATTTGTAGGGTCAATTTGACCACACATTTCATGTGCCCACTTAATTGAGTAAACAGCAGACGATACTGTACTATAAGTAGATCCGGAATCTAACAAATTAGACAAATACAAAGCAACATGTATAGGCGAGGCAGGCATTGAAATTAAGCAATGTTTAGTAACAAATTTTTCCCACTTTAAAAAAACATAGTAATATTTTATCACAGTACTGTCACTTCTTGATTCCAATAAATGTGTAGATAAGCTGGCAACCAAACTGTATAAAGGATGAGTTTCGTCAATTCCACTGTGTACCACGGCGTCACGTACAAACTGTTCTTGCTTTATTCCTGTGCAAAAGAAATACTACAATCAAAATCTGATTTTAAAAGCAATCAGTGCAAAATTCAAAGGATATACTCCGAAAATACCATTATTGCTTCTCCCTCTTACAATTAAATGTTCATTTGTTAAACGCAGCTTGTCCTCAACAAAAGTACAATTCGAATTGTGTAATAATGCCCAAAATGGAGCTGATTTCCAAAATGGAACAACAAGAGTACTGTCAGCGCTATCTGCGCATACTTTTCTAATGACCTTGGATATCAAATTTGGTGGTGGTACCAGCCAGTTATTTTCCCCTTGCCAATTTTGCGTGAAAGCGTCAATAGCTTCAGTACCTTTGCACCAACATTTTGAATTAAACCTAAAACATTTACTGTTATAATCAGTAGCAAATCTATCTATAGAATGTTTTCCCAAAAGCTCATCAAGCATGGCAAACACTTCAAAATGAATTCCCCAATCATCACAATCTGAATATCTACTTGCAGCTCAGACTTTCTACTACCGTTCTTTATTATGCTTGTAACGTTTTTATTATCAGTATTCAGTTGAACTGTGTGATTTTTTAGCATCGTAACAGAACTTTTTACTACCCTACTTACTGCTTCAAGCTCTCTCCATGTAGAGCTTTTAACACTTTCAGATAAAGACCAGTTACTAGTCACAGTTGGGAACTTCTAGACCACAATCAGTCATTTTCATAATACAATCAGAGTCACAGACAGACTCTGTATCAGCTGGGACTACATATCCCCCAAAGCCGACATCTGAAGCGTCAGTATACGCCATAAAATCACAAAAATCTGACTCATGCAGATTTAAACCCTTTCTATTGAACTTTCGTAAGTTCTCAAACCAAA